TTTCTGTCCTTTAGGGTAAAAAAAAAAACAGCTCCCATATTCAGTATTAGATTTCACTACAGTAAATGAGACCTCCTTACCTTAATCTTCTGTAATTAGCCTTAAATTGCTTCCTCCCTCCCCTTATCTCTGAAGCCAATCATTGCCATAAAATGAATCAAATAATTAGAATAGCCACTTTGCTAAGTGCTTATACGCAGTAAAACCCTGAGCAGGCTTTTAACCTACATTTCGTTGCACTTACAGGCCCATGTTCATTCTGCACTTCAGATGCAAGATACATGCTGGTGGATTTATCGAGACTCAGCTCATCTGATTAAACTGAAATTGCTTAGGAAAAGTAGGGAGATGCAGAGAACTTCACTGTGATAAAGGAAAGAGCTTGCACAGACAAGAAGTAACTGACTCTTCCTTTAGCAGTGAGTTACAGTAATACAAGATGGGAACAGGCCACAGGACCACCCCATAGTCCATGGGACAGCACACTTTGCAAGCTGTATGATCACAACTGACAGGCAAGTCTCTGGAGGAGAGATGTTTGCCGAGAGACTAGATTATTCAATAAATTCAAGTCAATAAAGCTACACATAGTGTTAGGAGGGTAATTTTCAGCAGACTTGAGCCCATCACCTCCCACCTTAGTGCAGTTAGAGGCCAATGCCTAAGAACTTGGAAACAGGGAAAACACAGTCCTCAAAACACACAGCTTTGTCTTGTCATTAGAAAGAAACTGGGACAGAACAGAAGGAGCATTACATAAATATTTCCCTCATTTATGTCCATCAAAGTTAACAGTAGTCATATGATGATCATAGAATCATCAAGGTTGGAAAAGGCCACTAACATCACCTAGCCCATCACCACCATGCCCACTAGCCAATGTCCTTCAGTGTCACATTGACCCTTGCACACCTCCAGAGACAGTAATCCCACCATCTTCCTGGGCAGCTTGTTGCATTGCTTCATCCTTCTTTCAGACAAGAAAATTTTCTTAATACCCAACCTGAATGTCCCCCAGCACAACATAAGGCCATTCCGTCTTGTCCTATTGCTCTCACTCAGGAGAAGAGGCCGACCCCCACCTCATCACAACCTTCTTTCAAGATGTCGTAGAGAGTGATAAGGTCTCTTTGAGCCTTCTCCAGGGACTGACCTAACTTTATTCCAATACTTTTGGAACCTCTTCCTTAAAATATTTCCCAACACACCAGATTATGCTAGTTGTTGCTTTTGTATTGCACTGAATTCTTAGTTCTTTAAAGAATTGGTATCTGCAAGGATTCAGCCTGATTTCCACGTAGCAAAGAAGCTACTACACTGCATATAGTAGAAGTCAGTGCCATCTAGTGACATCTCCTTTTTGTCACCTTCAAACACTCTCAAGCCTAAAGTAAATGTGTAAGGACTTGAATAGATGCATAACTGTCAGTTTAGGACTGTGCCTTCCTTCTTTGGTAAATAGTTATTTTATATTTAAATATATTAATAGTTGTATTCATGTTTACTTTTACTCTTATATTTAAGTTCCAGTTATTTTACATTTACTTGAAGTGCTTTATATACAGCAAAATCTTTACAACATTTTTAAAACAGAACACTGTGTTTTAGTGTCTCAAACTCAGGGACAGATTTTTGTTTATTTGTAAGCTAGGATGTAAGTTACCATTTAAGATCTTAAAAGAATATATAACAAACAAATAGAACCAACAGAGGAGAATCTCAATCCCTCTGAAGGGCTTCCCTACCCTCTGGCAGATTAACGCTCCCTCCCAACTTGCTGTCATCTGCAAACTTACTGAGGTTACACTCAATCCCCTTGTCAAGATCATTAATAAAAATGTTAAATAGAAGTGGCCTCAGTGCCAAGCACTGAGGGACACTGCTTGTGACTAGCTGCCAACTGGATTTAACTCCACTGACCAAAACTCTGGTGTCTTACCCAGCTGAGCATACATCCATCCAAACTGTGGGCAGCCAGCTTTTCCACAAGGATGTTGTGAGGGCAGTGTCAAAGGCTTTACTGAAGTCCAGGTAGACCACACCGAGAGCCTTACCTTCATCCACTAAGTGGGTCACCCTGTCACAGAACGAAATCAGGTTTATCAAAAAGGATCCACCATTCATAAACCCATGCTGACTGGGCCTGATCCCCTGGCTGACCTTTAGTTAATCCATGATGACTCCTGCAATTATCTGTTCCATAATCTTCCCCGGCACTGAGGTGAGACTGATATGTCTGTAGCTACCAGGATCATCTTGCCAGCCCATTTTGAAGATGGGTGTCATATCTGCCAGATTCTAGTCCACCAGAACATTTCCAGGTAGCCAGGATGGCTGAAGGATGATGGAGAGTGGCTTGACAACAACATCCCCAACTCCCACATCGCTCTAGGGTACAACCCATCGGGTCCCATGGACTTGTGAGCATCCAGCTTTCAAAGCAGGCCCAAAACCATCTCATCATGGATTATGCAGGGCCTATTCTTCTCCCCATCCCTTTATATAATACTTGCAGATGGCAGCTCCTATCTTTAGTTCAAACATTTTCACAAAGTTACCAACAAGAAACTGTGAGTTTAGAAAGCTAATATCAAAATGTCATAAAGAACAGTCAAAGGTTTGACTTTTTGTTAAACTAAGTAAGGAAGAAAAGACTCTGTCCAAACCAGTTGCCAGTCTTCCCTTCACCTTGCTTGGAATGAACTCATAACATTCTCACTTTTTGAGTAAGTCAAGGAAGCTCCTCAAAATTGTTATAAAATCATAGCATCTCCAAGGCTGGAAAAGACTTTGAGATCATGTAGTCTGACCATCCACCTACCACCAATATTTCCCACTAACCCATGTCCCTCAGTACCATATCCATACATTCCTCGAACACATTCAGGTATGGTGACTCCACCACCTCCCTGGGCAGCCCATTCCAGTGCCTGACCACTCTCTCAGAGAAGTAGTATTTCCTAATGTACAACAATATAAACAATGTAATGAGGGATCTGATCACATGCACCAGTTATCTAAAGCACGATTGACCCCTCCTTCTCCCCCCACCAAAAAAAAAAAAAAAAATTTTTTTTTTTTTTTTTTTACAAGAGTCAAAGGACATTAGAAACGCTTTAGGGTTTTGTAATAAGACGATGATATTGACCACAGCAACAAAACCCCTCCCCATTTCCCAAGGTCCTTCCTTGTGCTCATCAAATCAGGAGGAACAAACATGAAATTTAAACTCTATTTACCTATTTTTGAGTGATCGTTTTCTCTCTCATTGCTTTGGTCTCTCATTAAAATTTCGGTTTTATAATGAGGATACAAAGATTACGTATTAACTACTACTATAGCACAAGTTCCTGGCGTAAACTTTAGGCAACTCAACATTAGCACAAGCAGAAATTACAGCGCTCGGAACGCATCCCTTTAACGATCAGTTTTACTGTCTATGCTGGCTATGGACTCTGCCACTAGGTGTCTTCACAACTCAGAATTGCAACGTGCAGTCCCAGTAGTTTGTCTTCAGTGGAAGTTTGGTGTGTGGGTGGATAGTTAGACTCCAGCAGTTTTCTTTCTTAACTGTTTTCCAGTTATGCTGGTTTACAGTATTTGTAAGGCCATATCCTTACAAACATCTCTATGATACTCCCAATCTTATGAACTGTGCTAGGCTCTTCTAACAGTTAAATTTTGGAAAGCTATTCCATTATTTTCTCCAAAATATCACCTAGATTTTTTGCTAAAGCATAACATACCCCTCTACTCTGCTCCCATGAAACCCCACCTGGAGTACTGTGCCTAGTTCTGACACCCCCAACACAAGAAAGACACGGAGCTGTTGGGGTGGGTGTAGAGGAGGATCACGAGGAAGATCAGAGGACTGGAGCACCTCCCCTACAAGGACAGGCTGAGAGAGCTGAGGCTCTTTAGCCTGGAGAAAAGACAGGTCCAAGGAGACCTTATTGCGGCCTTCCAGCACCTGATGGGGGCCTACAGGAAAGCTGGGGAGAGACTATTTTTTTTTTTAAGTGCATGTAGCAACAGTACAAGGGGAAATTACTTTAAACTTGAAGAGGGTAGATTTAGACTAGATATTAGGAAGAAATTCTTTGCTGTGAGGGTGGTGAGATGCTGGAACAGGTTGCCCAGTGGGGCTGTGAATGTTCCCTCCCTGGAGGCATTTAAGGACAGGCTGGATGGGGCTTTGAGCAACCTGGTCTAGTGGGAGGGAGGGCTGGAATGAGGTGATCTCAAAGGTCAGTTCCAAACCAAATCATTCTATGATAAACACATTTTAAGATAGAATTTCATAACTGCATTTTTTTCTTTCCTGGTTTCTATCTGTAACTGTTGTATCTGCATTATAAGCAAAAGTGATAGCTGCTCTGCACAAAATTCCTGTTTAACTCTAGTTTGCTTCTAATTTTATGAAGAATCTCTCCATCTGTTAGGATTTTTGAGGAGCAGATTTTAGAAACATTCAGAGAAAAAAAAAAAAAAAAAAAAAATACTTTACAAGAGTAGCCCAAATCCAAATCTAGATTTCTTGTCTCTATGTCACAAGAAGGCTAAGATTTGGAATTGAGCAGACTACTGTGAATTAATGAAAACTGCGACAGATCTTTATCTAACAGCCTGCAAACAGCTGATTTGTTTGGCTTCCTAATTTTAATCTTCTATGTAACTAAGGTTGATTATCATAACACATAAAAACTAAGCAATTTAAAAATACTATTTTACATTCTTTTCTTGACGTACTGCTGCTTGTAAAATCAAAATCTCAAATGCAGAAGAATCTTACTCAAAACAATGTGCAGCTCTATTGCAAAGTAAAATATGTTTTACTCTGAATTACAGAGCAGTTCTGACATATCACAAAACAATCAAGCAGTTCACATTTCAGCTACAATGAAGCTATGGCATAACCCTCCATGTTTTTGCATAATACTTTGCTCCCCTGCCCCTTTTCTCAGTGTTATCTTAACAGAAGAACTAGAAAAGGAAATCAGTTCAGATATGTCTCCTGTGCGAACCTAACAGGATGCAAGAGGCCATCTGAGCTGCACTTTTCAAACCCACAGGAACCCCTCCTCTACCATGTCCTGAGAACAAAGCCTCCTCCAGTCATGTTGATAAGATGGATCTTGTTGTGCAGCCTTCTAGTAAGGCTGGCTCAGAGCAACAATCAGGATTCTGGTAAGTTGTGGTTTTATTATTTATTGTATGTTTGAACACTGAAAGGGAGAGAGGAAAAAAAAAAAAAAAAAAAACAGAAACCAATTCCTAGTGTACCTTATAAATAACTTATGTCTTATTTTATTACTATGTCTGACACTCCTAAAGTAATTAAATAGGATAATTCTGGCAACAATTGAGAAATATTAGGTACCTGGTCTAGCACCTGAGGACCAAACGCATCTTTCTTTGTGGGCTCTGCTCTCAAGCGGGGTGACAGTACTCAAAGCCTCTGCTTGAAATCTACGATTTCTACCAGCTACAACCTGGTTTGCAGTCAGATTGTCCTTACTGCATAAATACATGCATCTTTCTTCATTTAGCTTATTTCAGTACTAGTTTTCTGCCTGTTTTCAATTTAGAACCCCCAGAGTTTTTAAACAGAGAAGCCCTCCTAGTTCAAAACGATGCGAGCACAATGTGCTCAATCCACCCGTACTATTAATTTTACTGCAGACTTTATTTTGGTTCTTAGATCTTCCATGCTGTTCTCATCCAGGAGACATAAATGTTGTTATTGAAAGGAAGGTAGTCTTACATTAAGGGTAATAGCTATGGGAGTGGATGTTCTCATCTGCTCTCAGTATATTTCAGGTATTTCAAACAACACATTTATCCAAATAACACTTGTTACAAGGCATCGCTAAAATAACAAATTCAATATGGGCTATGTGAAGCTTAGTTGGCATGAATGACCAATTCTGCAGATCTATAGCATCAGACAACGTTTTTACGAACAAAATACATCAAAAATACATACAGGAAAGGCTAAGTGATTATTCAGAGTACCCTGAAAGGGAGACTCAAATACTTGGCTTAGAATACATGAATCATCAGGTCAATTAGATGCAGCTGTTTCTTAATTGGAATGTTATCTGAGCTCAGCCAGGCTACCAAATTTCTTCAGTCATTTGAAAATCAAACGTAAACAGCTTCTGAAGGGAAGTATCCAGCAACAACCTTTTTCATATTCAGCAAAAGTCCTCTCAGCTTGTAAGAGATAACTACTACTTCTGCTCACTTCATTATGACTGCCTGAGCTATCAGGTTCTCACAGACACCTTCCTCCATTGTCCATCTCATTATTATGTGCGCAAACCCCAAGACTCATCTGCCAGGTTCCTAGATAATGTTTTTAAAACTAATTTTATTGCACTTCTTACTGCATGAATCCTGTTTACATAGAATCTATTTCACCAGGTTATTCTTTGATCTACACCAAAATTATGTGGGAGACTCTGAGAGCAATACTGTTTCCTTCTACAATCTTACATTACTATATAGTATCGGAATCATTTTTACAAAAGCATTACAGGCAGAAGTCTTTGAACACCAGTCTCTACAGAATCTTGATTTTTTTTTTAAATGTATTTACATTTTAGACAAGTTTTCCAAGCTTGTTCAACTTTTTTTTTTTTTTTTTAAAGATGAAAGTTGAAGGCAAGTTATTTAAGCTTTGCTTGCTGCCAATCTATCTAAACTTTCCTAACTCCTAACAAAAGTTGACACTGACAGATTTTGTATACCAAGTTAATGGCAAACAAATCTTTGCTAAATTAGAGAAGAGGTAAACACAAGTTTTTTGATAAGTTTACATATGGACCTTCTCTTCTCTACAGCCTCAGTAATTTCAGCTCAGTCAAACCCTGGCTCTTTTGAAACATGACAACATTTGCTATTCCCATCTAGTTGCACAGGCAGTGGTTGTTGATGTCTGGAACATATAAAGTTGATGCAGTATTTCATACTGATCAAAACAAACCAAAACCTAGCAAGGCTTCCACCACCCTGAGAAGCCCAGCCAGTCTCTGCACGCAAATTCACTGGTCCTAAAACATCACCTTTGCTGTTAGCCCTCCCTGCAGGACAGCTGGCACATTCTAACATTTCAGCTATACTGAACTTCGCCATCTTTAAGTTTCAGTCATTGAAACATAAAGACATATTCTCTGCTCTTACATCACATAACAACTTTCATCAAGGAACTGTTTTGGATAAATAAATAAAGATGCAGTTCTGACAGCTGCCTTGGCACACAGGTCAGCTTCACAAATGTTATCACCACTAAGAAAAGGAAACATTCACAAAATTGAGCAGCTCTTTATTGTTTGCAAAGCAAATATAAAAAGTAAATGGCTGTATTTAGAACATGGGGAAAAATAAGCAAAAAGGGCCAAAACTAAGTTTCTATTAGCTAAATGACAAATTAATTCATTTTAAATATATCACAGGTTTTTTTTTCTTGTTGTTGTGTTTTTTTATTGTTAATTCCTACATATGGCATACTATGTCATCTCTTGGTCCTCTTTAAAAGGGCAAAGAAGAAAACAAGATTTCAATTAGTAATTCTTAATTTACTGGAATTCTTTCAAATTCTTAGATGAGGTGTGAATGACATCTTTTAGAAACAAAAGATTAGAAAGCTCAATTTTCAGCTGTTGTTTTTCTCCGGTGGGTTGAGTTACATAAATAGAAAAGTGTCTTCATTATCCCTGTTGGTTTCGCTTAATAAATAATACCATGACTACTATGTCATCCCCATGACCATAAGAAAAAAAGTGTTTTTGATAAAATTACAGTATTGTCACACATCTTTCATTATTATATAAGTTTAGAGCATACATTATCATGGTTGTTCACTACACAGAAAGTTTTCCTTACCTGTAAAATTAGTTCTAGGCACAGTTGAGCTTGGCTTGCCACAGTCTATCCAGAAGCGCAGTGAAGCGATCCAAAAGAAAATTTGCTGTTATTCAATCTGAACCTTTCTAAGTTATGTAAGCTTGAAAATGATATATAGAACTTTCATATTACAGATTCTTTTACCCTCTTAAAAACTGCCCATTCAAATATTCATCATGAACTCCCATGTATATAAAACACTGAGAATTTCAGACATGATATCAAATCTTCTAATTGGTTTCAGCTCATAACAGCATTCCAGAAGGAACAATTCAATTTCTTTTGGAAATCACATGCAGTCTTTAATGGGAAGATTACAACTCCCTGAGATTGAGTTCTCATACCCCATAGCAAGATTAAAAAAAAAAATAATAATCACATTATCAGGGTAAGAGTATTCAGAGCCACATTTACTCTCATTTACTGAGGTTTATTGAGTGTTTCTTTCTAATAGCAACCAATAAATAGAAAACAAAAAGTTATCTGCTAATTAAATGTTGATTCTCCCTTCTCCCCCACTGCCTGTTAAAGACATCCCTTACAGTCTAAGAAATGTTTTTATACTATTATTTAAATCCGAGATCTTCACTGAGACCTATTCATTTTCAGTGGTCCTTAGAGCTATACCTAGGAAAGATATTTTAAAGTCCGCATTAAATATCTTACTCTGTATAGAGAGTCCCAAGAATTTTGGTTTTGGACAATTTTTTCCCCACTGCTTTTTATCTACATAAAGGTTTTTTTGTTTGTTTGTTTTTAATTACATATGGGATGACTCCTGAGAGAGGAAAAGCTAACAGGAGATTTTAGGGCACATTCATTATGAATTCCCACAGTTAATTGTTGATGGTGGATTATAAAAAAACTCTTTTGCTATCCTAATTTTTATTGAGCTTCAGAACAATTCCAACTAAGAGTTTTCTAAAGGCTGAATGAGTGTCCTCTTTTCTTTTTAAAGATTCTTTTCTAGAAGGTCCAAAAATTTATGACTTACAATATATGTAAAGTACTAGGTTTGTTTCTAGTAAAAGTTTATAAACAAAAAAAATAGCTCAACTATCAAACATTAACAAGTCACAGAAGTAAAAAAAAAAAAAAAAAAAAAAAAAAAAAAAAAAAAACGGCAATCTAAAGCCCAATCATCTCACACTTCTAAGAGGAGCCCTTTTATAGGGCAGCCTACAAACTCTCATGTGCACTAAAAAGTAACCAGTAGCTTGGTTAACAAGTTCAAAAGATTCCTCTTTTACTAACAGGAAAAAATAAATAAATAAATAAATAAAAATAAAAATAAAAATAAAAATAAAAAACAACTCAATGAAGTAATAGTGCTTACCTACTATTCACAGGTTGCTTCTAAGGGATTCACAAACATTAACTATGACAACTATATCAATTTACAGTAAACTAAGCCTCTTCTTATAAGAATACTACTACACTGCTCTCAGTCCACTCTCTTTCTATCCCTCTCTCTACTTCAGGTTTTGTCCTTCTGAGGAGGAAGGGAGATGAGGCTTTATTCGCTAGGGTTAATTGGCAGCAGGTTGCCAAACATTTTCACCTGCAGCAGCAGCAGCAGCTGGAAATGAAGACTAAAAAATGTTTTACACAGGTCAGTTTGTGAAAAAAGACAGAAAATTGGATTCAGACCCAGTAGTGGCTGGAAATATTCCTCTGGAAATATAATCTTAACAAATCTGATTATGTTGTAATTACAGTAGTATGAAGAATGCTCACCATCAGATGACGAAGGAACACAGTTTTGGCACATGTTGGCATAGGTATTTGGGGAAAAAAAAAAAAGAAAGAGGAAATGTTAATCAAGCTAACCCAGCTGAGAAACTGACTAGCATATATCATTTGAACTCTTGAAAACGTACTATATCAGCAAAAGTAATATGAAGTAGGTTCAATTGCAGTGGAAGATTTTTTTAAAGTCTCATTGTCATGAAGGAAATCCTTTGACAGCAGTGGACTTAGCTCCTTACAACTTAACTGGTGGCAGTGCAAGAGATCATAAGGAGGGAAATTTCTTGTGATATCAATGCAAGAAAACGCATAAGTGATTCCAGTCCCCAGTTAAAGCCAGAAGGTAACTTCAGCCTTTCTGCACAGACAGTAGAACCCTGTTCTCTCTGAGAGGGTCTGCTGCTGAATGTTACTCTAGGTTAAACTGACCAGTGCAAGACAATCATCTTTTCAGAACAAGAAGTAACACTGATAAGACATTTTTGCTTCCAAGAACCCATACCACTGATTTTCATCTGATGGCGACAGGATTAAGTACATGGCTGTTGTTATTCAGTCTTTGCATTACCTATCACTTTGCCATAGAAGTTTAGTATTTAGCACTTGTCTTCTTGGACTATCATCTGTCTTTCTACAAAACACCTAATTTATCAAGATCATACATAAGTCAAAACCTGTCCCTTAGTGCTTATATAATTTCTGCCAGCTTTCTAATGTGTGTAAATTTAATAGATACCTTCTTTTTCTACAACTGAGTCATTGGTTAAAATCAAAAACTGGACTCAGAACAATTCAATAACCTCTGATACGAATATGCTTTCATTTTTACTTTGTTCTGGTCTAATTATTTGGAGTTTTGCAAGTATTGTATGTGCAACTGTAGCATGTTATCAAAACATATCTAGGCAACAGTTGTCAAAGGCAGTCTCAAAAAATACCACAGAAGTCAAGATATATCATAGATACAGAGAGAGAGAGATAGAGAGATAGAGATAGGGCTGCTTGACTCTTCATGATGTCTGTTACTTGGTCACAGGGGAAAATCAGACAAGTTTACTGTCATTTGTTTTGAATTCATGAATTCATCCAGACTGTTATGTTCTCTTTATCTTCACGAGACTGACGGACAGTTTGGTTATTTGTTTTTTCTATACCCATCAACTGGAAGATAAAGACATACTTAGGATTTCTTTCTCTGGACTTGCAAGCAATCACTCTTCATTATATAAGCACTGTACTATAAGGCAGGGTAGGGAAGTAGGAAGCTCTTGAGTGTCACATACTTTTTATTACTTAGCCAAAGAAATCAAGCACCATAGGAAACAAAAATCTTTATGAAAAGGTCAGGACATCAATGATAAGACCCAAAGTAAAATTGATATATTGGAGCTTGAACACTGAGTTTAGCAGAACTTTACAAAACTGAAGAAACGGAGATGAGATATACATAATTATTTTCATTATTCCAGTTATGACAAATCAATACCAAACAGAAGTCTTTACTTCCGTGAATTATTAATGATTGTGAAGTAAACAATAATCTGAAATAAATCTAAAAGTAACAGAAAATGTCTGTGACAAAGATGACGTAGGAAAATATTCTATGCAAATTTTATGTATTTTCTGTCTAAACTACAAATCCAGATTTGATTGAGATATTAACTGATACTCGTATCAGAGGGAGAAAGTCAATTTTAACAAAACTCCTAAAAATGAAGGAAGCTGTAGTCTTGATTTATCTGCTGTTAGTGCCCATATAGAGATAAGTCCTGAAAGTAGACAGAGAAAGCCTAGCAAAAATCAGAGAGAAAAGAAACTGTGATTAGTGGCTTTATGAATATATAATCAATCACCACACATCATGATTTTTTCTCATGTTTTTCTTCTCTTCTTGGATTTGGTGCCAGTCATAGTCTAGCTGAAACTAAAGTTCAAAGAAACTCTGAGAGCAAAATTTGTGTTGGTATCCACTTGGTTATGCACTGTCTAGTTTGTTACTGTGAGGAAAGGCCAGTCACACAGTTGTTCAACAGAGGTGGAAGGATGAGTGCTGCTGAATGATACCAAAGCATGATCTGAGTCCAATATTTTCACCCCAGAGATTTTCCTCATTACCAGAATGATAGTGAGACCAGTAGGACTCTAGAAGTTGGAGTTCATTAAAAATGTGGACAACAGATTGAGGGAGATGGTTCTCCCCATCTGCTTTGCCATGGTGAGGCTACATCTGGATTACTGCATCCAGTTCTGGACTCGTCATTTAAGACAGACAGGGATCTTCTTGAGAGAGTCCAGTGAAAGGCCATAAAGAGTATTAGGGGCCTGGAGCATCTCCCTTAAGAAGAAAGGCTGAGAGACTATCCAACCTGGAGAAGACTGAAAAGGATCTCATCACTGCTGATAAGTATCTGAAGGGCAGGAGTCAATTGGATGTGGCTAGTCTCTTTCAGCAGTGCCCAGTGGCAGGACAAGGGCAATGGGCACAAAATGGAACACAGGAAGTTCCATACATACATAAGAAAGAACTTATTTACTGTGAGGGTGTTGGAGCCATGACACAGGCTGCCCAGAGGGGTTGTCTGGTCTCTTTCTCTGGAGATATACAAAACCCACCTGGACACTTTCCCGTGCAACCTGCTGTAGGCATCTGCTTTAGCAGAAGGGGTTGGAACCAATGATCTCCAGAGGTCTTTCCAACTCCTAGAAGTCCGTGATTTTGTGGTTTTGTTATTGTTTAAAGTGAGTCCCATTGAGTCTCAAAAAGATCTCTATTAAACAAGTGGATTCAATTTACAGGAAAATCCATTCATGATGGATGATGGCTTCTCCCAGCATGTTTTACTGGTAGCATAGTAACAGTCCAAAATCAGCTGTGTGGTAATTACCACCTTCATGCTATAGTCCTGTCTCTTGGTAATGGGGAAAGAGAAAAAGAAAAAAATAAAAGGAGGATCTGGAGTTGAAAAGCTAAGACTAAATGGCCTTTAGTGAATTATTCAATAATTAAAAATTATCATCTGGAATGAAGAAAGACCATGAGAGGACAGCCTTGTTATATGCTGTATGACTAAACAGAATGCCAATAGGCATGTATTCATAGTTGGTGAGGCAACACAACAGTAAAGAAAACAAAGCAATTCAAGCCTCTTCTTGAGAATGATCTTGCAATAGGGAGTCATAGAATCGTAGAATGGCTTGGCTTGGATGATCCAGTTTCAGTCCCCCTGTGAATTGCCACCTGCTAGATCAGAGAAAGTATAATTTTGTACCCAAGAAGTTCAAGAACAGAAAAGATCTCTGTGCTTTAAGTACCCTCAAGGAGTAAAGGACAAGTGATACTTTCATATTAACTTAGCCAGTTGTGAAGTCTGAACCACATCTGCCCTTCTCAACATTGCTCTGCTGGTAGAAAGCAGTCTGCACATCTGTAATGTCCAACTAAGACAGTTATAAAACTGTTCTGCTGCCATTTCTTCTCATGATAAGTTCATGGACTTTTAACCATTGTTACATTTTGCAACAGGAAAAGTCACAGCAGAAATAGAAAAACCAGAATTTATGGCTATAATCTGCTGTAAGGCAAAGTATTTTCCCAGATACAGATTTCATTTGAAGGAAGAAGAACAGAGATTCTTGGGTATTAGAAGGGCATATTCACAAATATCATACTATAAATAAATGGTGAAACAGACCTCAGTGTACATGCTCTATTAATGTATTTATATGAGTACCAGGGAGTTCTGAAACATAGAACCACTTTGTCAGCAGTGGAAGACAAACACTTCATTTCCCCCTCCCACAAATCACTGCAGCTTTTGTTTGTTGAATTTAGTTCCCTCTTCCATCACTAGTTTGAAGGTGAGGTTTGTTGTCACTTCAGTGTGTGGAGCAGAGAACACAACTGCAGTGCAAAATGTCTGGTTGCAGTTTCATTTCCCTGTCTTATTTTTCTCTTTCAGAAAAGTCTGCAAACATCACCACACCTTCAGCAAAACGTAAGTTCTGATTTCTTATTTCCTCTTTAACAGAAACAAAACAACCAGTACTGCTATGAGTTTCAGTCTTAAATTAAAGCTAGACCCCTAAAATGATCATCTTCCTAATGATACCATGTGCATAATCCATAACAACATTCATTTCTAGACTCTAGATTTACATATAAATCAATCAGAAAGCTTTTTAGTTCTTTTTGAATACTGTGTAAATTCTACAGAAAAAGAAGAGGAAAAAAGACCTTAATCTTAGAATGCATTGGATGTTTATAGCTATGCTTTAATTCTGACCCTTTGTTTGTTTCTGTTGGCCTTGTGCTATTTATCATTCCTCAGCAACACTTTTCCACACAGTTTTCATTTGAGTATCTTCATACTTGCTAATATGTCCCTGGAGATGGTTATCTCATGACATGCTGTACCAAGCTAAAGAATGTTTTAATTACATTAAGAAGCCAGTTGCATCAGAAAGAACAAATGCTAAAATCTCCAGTCAAATATTACCCTATGCTAATGCATGTTAATGCAGTTTTAGATGCCTCTACTAAGTCAAAAGAACATGGAAAAAACAAGACATTGCACATTATTTATGCTTCAGTACCCGTGGGTCTGTGTTGTCCATTCATCTTCATATGCGTGTTTTGGAGTCTAAGGAGGTACTATGGTGAGCAGTTTTAACATATAATATTTTCTTACTGTGTATCTGATTCCATAGCTTAAAGTTTCACTGAGGGCTTAATGAAAATCTGCTAATAATTATCCCAATTAATTGTCCTTGTCAAGTGTGCTGGTTAAAATAATGAATCTTCAAAAAGTTTCATGTTTTTTTTTTTTTCCTTCCAGGGAGACAAGTGTGAAAGTAAAAAGCAAATAAAATATACAGTTTTTATAATATTTGAATTTTTTTCTCTCTTTTTTTTTTTTTTTTTTAATGATCAAGTTATAAATGAGTGAGGCTGTTAGCCACATAAATGCTGTCAAATTCTATTCAGTTGCATTCCCTCTGAGCTATCAAATAGTTACGATATTAATCTCTCATGTTTTACAGGAACTCTTACACAGGTGCCATGCTCTAAGTCAAGAGGGGATCCTGGAGTCCCCCACATCTTATTAAGTGAAGCAATCAATTATTTGTTTTCTCATGGAATGGCTTAAGGATTTTTCCATACCTTTTCTTGCCATTTCACTGCATAGAAAGACAACTAGCCACAAGTACAGCAGGAATTTATCTGCTCCTTTTCAGAGAAGCTCTGAGGAACACAGAAATACATTCTATAAGAACATCGTTTTATGCTGATTATCTTTTGGCAGTAAAACAATTCCCAAATATACTGTGGAGATAGATTTTTATTCTTTGAGGGGCACTCAATAAGGCAAGGGCTGCTTCGGTAATCTATACTCTTCTGTGAGCAGAAAGGCATCTTCTCAATGCTGATTGATTGAAACATCTTTTTTTTTTTTTTTCTTCCTAGGAAATCATAAGAGAACTCCATCAACACCACAGAGACAAGAGAGCCAGGTATGCTTAAATTCTGCCACCACTGAAACCTGATAATGTCCAGTATAACCACATGCTGAAAATAAATTTTTGGATAGTGTAAAATGTGGAGTAGGATTGGAGACAGTTGTGGTACCTGGAAAGAATGGCTTCCCTAGCATGAGATATCACCTTGTCTGAGCTGAAGGGAAAGAACTCAGTGTTTTTGCCACAAAGGTTCTTCAAGCATCTAAACTCCTTTTAAAGTGCATTAATTTGTAAAACCATTCCAGTAGGAATTTAGGGATCTAAAGCATCTCTGTTGACCTGGTTCTGACTGCACAAGACAAAAAGTCACCCGCAGGGTCAGGAAAATGATTGAGAAGAAGGGCTTTACTATGTGACTAGCACAAATTCAGACAATTCTTGCAATAGGTACCGAGAAAATTAGATGAGCAGAAGGGAGAACACAAAAGATGCGACAGGCGCTGGCAGCAGTCACTCACAAAAAAGGCTGTGGTAGGGATCAAAAGGCACCAAATGGACTGTAGTGCTCCTGAAAGACAAGGTGGGGGAAAGAAAATTGAGAGCAGCATGTTCTAAGTTGTTGGGAAAAAATGGATAGCAAAAGAGGATTTCTTTAAAGAGAGACAGATTTATAGAGGAACTTGCAGATTTGGGAGAAGAGAGATTTATTTGGAGAATAATTTAAAGAAAAGGAAAAAAAAAGTAATAGGTCAGAGATCTGGAAATAGGAAAATAAGGGCAATCAGAAAGATATTTTGGGGTTTGGAGGGGAAAATGAGTATTTAATAGGCTCAGAAAGAAGAGCTGAATGAGTGTCATAGAAGAGCTTTCAAGAGGATGAATCAGCTTTGCCTTAAGTTGAAATCATGCAAGGAAAGACACGACTGAGTTTGGGAAAGGAAGTGGAGGAAGACTGGAGACGCGAGTATGATTTCTAGCTTATTTCAAAGATCAAAAGAAAATCCAATGATCAGTTGAGTCCAATGCACCCATCTTTGAAAGCAGTTTTAAAGGAATACAAAACCAACAGAATCCTACCCACTTCTTATCTAGCAGGAGCACAGGCATAGCCAGACATGCATAGAGCTGTATCCTGTTCTGTCTTTTGCAGGTCAGAAGTCCATCAGCTTTTCCATCCCATGCTGCTGGGAGAACTCCAGCTACAGATGTAAGCTCCTCACTTTACTGCTCCATGCCTAGCCCACCTCAGCTCTTGCCTGTCAACAAGATTTATGACAGCGTTCCTCACTGTAATACTCAGGAGACAGCATCTAACTCACCTCATAATGATCCTTCCATCCCAGCATCACTTGAAAACCAAGATGTCCTCATATATGCATCACTAAACCATTCTGCTTCTACAAATAAATACCAGAGAAGGAAACTCCCTATAGAAAATGAATTTATAGAATATGCCTCTATTAAGGTAAATAAATAAACATGGCAGACTTCACCAAACAGCCATTTTGTGCGCAGTCTCAGGTTTATCTTCCCTCCAGAATACCTTTCCTTTCTTTCCCAGGAAAACTTTCCTTTTGTTTAGAAGAACCTGTGAATGCTCCCCCACTACAGACAGGAATTCAAAACACAGCCTGTGTCATGCAGATGGCTGGGTAATTGCACTGGGTATTCGTCTCTTAAATGGCGGAATTAAAGGAAACACAGCCAGCTTTCCTGTTCTTCCTTTGCTCAGGATTCTGCTTCCAGCCTGACCTTTTGTTGTGGTTTGAACAGAGGCAAAGGGGAGGAGAAGGGAGGGCTTTCACAGGTCATAAACTTGTAAAACGAATCCATGAGGAAGATGATAATGAGCCAAATTAATTCCTCCAAAGTAAATACTAAAAATACGCGGGGGAGAAATTTTCTCTGAGGTTCTAAGAACGCCCTTACCAAGATCCTCCTTCTCATTCCAGTTTATCTCCTTGCAAAGTTCCTTGAACATCATGAAGACATAATCCTCTTATTAACTGAAATCATGTAAATACTTTTGCTTGTTTGTTTCTTGTGGGCAACAGGCAATAAGATGGAAAATAAAAGGTTGTTGTCCTTTTATTAAGAAATAAGAAATATTAAGAAATATTTCGCACAAATAATGTGTGAAAATACATAGAGTGTTCTCTTTTTTTCCTCCTGGTGTGATGACTGATAAGCTAAGTTAATGCATACTGCTTTTGTCCACGATGAGTCTATGGAAATAACAAATGCTGAGCAGTGACTGACCATAGTCAAAATAAAAACATTCTGTTCATGAGTAGCTGTGCACGACTGCGCCAGGCCAAGCTTTCCTCCCATCACTGGCACAAGAACACGATTATGCTTCAAGCTCAGGAAAAGAAGATAAAAAGGAAGTAAGGACCAAAGTGTCATTTGAATTTTGAGGAGAATGCTCATGCAGTTCTTTTGCAGCACACATTTCACTGTAGTTTGGATATCATGCATCGGCTCCTGCAGCTCAATACTCTGAAAAATTACATTTAGCATTGTCTGCACCAAGAGATTTGCAGAAGCAAACAGAGAGTCTTCAACATGGTTAAAAATTCAGACCACAGTTGAAAAGGAAGAGAGGATCAGTTCTCAGTGTGCATATAATGCACCAGATTCTTTGCAGTTAATGGAAGGAAGTCAAGCTTCTTCATCTCTTACCCTGGCATAGTTCCAGTTAACACTAAAGTTTTTATTGGATACACGTTAACCCTGCTATGTTGATAATGAAGATCATTTGTTATGCTTGTTGCATGCTTGTCTTCCACCCATCATGCACTCTACTCTGCCCTAGAATTATGCCCATGTGACTGAGAGCTAGAGGAGGCCAAGCACAGCTGTGAGAAGTACTGCGCAGCCACCAGCTGCAATGCTAAAAAAAATCTGAACATGCTGTGTTCCACTCTCAGATCAAGGCCAAACCATGGTTTAAGAAGAGGTCCTCAGAGATCGAGGGTTGGTTTGGAAGATGAGATTTTTGTAGATCAACAGGAAGCACCTCGCCACCTCACTATCAGATGTGCCAGTATAGAAAAGCAAAGCACCGGAGCTTACAGTTGCTTTTTTTTTTTTTTTTTTTTAATCACAACCACTGAAAGTCTATGTCTTTTGAAGTAAAGAAACAAAAGGTGCTGACTGAAACTGCCATTTAAGGTGCAACATCTGCCACTTTAGGCACAAATAATCCCATCAGGTCAATAGTTTTCATAGTCTTTTGAAAGAAATAGAAGAATTGATATTTTTCCCAGTGAAGATAAACTGCTCAGTGGATAGAAGGTCTGCGCACCACGGCTAGTGGGCATGGTGGTGATGGGTTGACAGTTGGACAAGATGATCTCAGCAGTCTTTTCCAACCTTAATGATTCTATGATTCAGTAATTTCAAAAAAGGACTTGCATGTTCATCCCAATCACCCAGTGCCCCTCTCAGTGATGTTACACATGAGACATCACACCTAACAGCAGTTGTGTTAAAGCACAGTGGATGGACTTTGCACACTGCAGAAAACAAATAGCTGTAACCTGCTTTATGGGGAATGTACAACACCTGTGCACCCTCTGTAAGTCATGGTCTGATAACCTCCAGTTTTACCAGGTGATTTGCTACTTCTTGATTCTCTTTTGCTATTTTTGTACTGAATACGTTGCATGGGTACAGTCATACAAGAAGCCCAAAGAATACAAAGCTGGGTGTCTGTCAGTTAGACCCACACACCCAAAGGGAAGGAAGAGAGTAAAGTCTGTGGAGCTGAAGGTCTATTACTTACACATAGTAATTACTATGTTGCATCATGATCCAGCAGCATTCTTTTTGTATGGGAGGCAGATGCAGCTGTGGTATGCAGTTCCTACCTCCCAAAGTAACCTGCATAGCACATAAGACCCTTACAAGCCTCGATGGAAGGAGTGCGCTCTTGGGCTGTAAACACATCAAGTCTCCTAGTTTCACTTTCTTTGTTTATACCCTTCACCTCTGAATCTTGCTTGTTTATGAAGCAAAAATAAAAGTAATCATGTGAGGCTTACTCATTTGTCAGTTCCTGGTCCCTAAAGCCTATCAGATGGGACTGCTCTTGGCAAACCACACACTTTGCCATATTATCAGGTCAAACAACAGCTTGCCAAGCCCCGCTTCTCTAATTATCTGTTTTTGCAATATTTTCACCCACATCACCACAAATATCCCAAGGCCCATTTTGCATCGTAAGGTGAGCAGGCAGTGAGGTGAGTGCAGAAAGAAAAGTTACAGCAATAGTTACATGAAATCTGAAGTTTGCACTTCTGTGAAAAAGGCATCACCTTGCATCACTTGGTTTCCTGCTGTTACCCCCCTAAAAGAGTGTGCAGGCTGGATGTGGCTCAGGGCAGCCTGATCTAGTGGTTGACAACCCTGTCCGTGGCAGGGAGGTTGAAACTAGATGATCATTGTGGTCCTTTTCAAGCCAGGCCATTCTGTGATTCTATGAGTCTATAAATGATAGGAGTCTGCCCAAAGAAAAGTCTGCACAAACCCAAAGAAACAAGGTGTACAGTGTGTTTGTTCCTTGGTTCTCCTGAGTCACTCCCCTTAGGGCATGCTGAGACTGCACTGCAAGCACTGCTAAGGCCACGTCCTCTGGAAGAAGAGGGGTTGCACAGACTGATGGCAACGTGGTATGTTTTGAGATATAGCACCAAGCTCCACACCGCGACATTGCTGTCAGCTGGGACCTTCCCACCTTCCAGACAAGTGCTAATGTTTCCTGGGTCTCCCTCTATCCCACATCCTTGTCAGGAACAGGGAACACAGACCTAGAGCTGAGCTTTGGCACCAGCCCCCACCACCAGCCCATGTGCACAAGAAGGTTGAGGGGAAAGGCAAGTATTCATTTCCGTGCCCAGCCTGCTCTCCACCCTGCTCCTTGCAGCAGGTTCCCTATTCTGTGATCTCCACAGCTCTGCTTCTGTAGTCCATTTCAGATCAAAAATGCCATCCCAAAGATAACAGGAACCAAATACAGGAAGAAGTGCTCAGATGCTGCCAGGAATGAGTCAGGAGGAGGTCTTGGAAAGCAGGAGAGGCAGGAGAGGGTGCACGGAATAGGGTTCCCAAGGAAGACCACCAGAGCCTAGAGGACAGCAGAGCTGGCTACAGAGCTCTATATGGAACCAGCCTCATCCACTCAGTACAGACAGTGATTTGCAAGGTGAAGAACCCTTGGTTTTGGGTGAGTTTTAAGCAACTACTATTTTCAATGAAAAAAAAAAAAAAAAAAAGCCTAAAGAAAATGCTTAGGAACCAGCTGAACCAAGCCCTCAGGCTGAACAACAGCAATTCACTACCAAGCCTGAACCCTAATTTCAAATTCTTATTCCCTTTCCCGCTTCCCATAAGTACACACATCTCCAGGAATCTCCATGCTGTAATGGCATGGAGCTGCATCAGGGGAGGGTCAGGTGGGAGTTAGGGACAGGTTCTTCACCAGAGGGTGGGGGGGCCCTGGAACAGGTTGCCCAGTGGGAATGGCTCAGAGCTGCCACCAGTTCTAGAGTAACATTTCTGCCTAAGTTAGTGATGTGGCAGGTAAATTTGCATCCGAGTGGCTTTTACTTACAGGTAAACCAAATTTTCTTTGCAGATGAGAGCATCCTTTACTTCTTTCTGTCTGAAATATTGTGGCTTATAATATCTTTTGTGGACTACTTGCCCCCCCCACCCGCACCCCAGTTGGGGTAGCATCCATAGGAAAGCACATCTACTGCATGCATAACATTTGTTCAAGCAGCCAGATGCACTGACATGTATCTAATGATGGAAAGATGGAACTGTGACATGTTTCATCAGATCTCAGCATCATTCACTTCAGTATGGCCAGAATCTGTGGAGCTACTTCATCTGATACCTGCCTGTGAGTAAGTGTGTATGTCTTATAGTTAGCTGTTCCTCAAACAGAGCTTAGGATAATCATAAAACCACTGCTCAGATTTCTGGCTGTAGTCTCAGAGGCTGAACAGATCACATTTGTTTTCTGTTCTCTAACCTACACTAGAACAATTTCAGTCTTGGTTTAAAAAAAAATATATAAAAATAATTTAAAAAGGCATTGTTGACTTTCAGTGTGCACTGAAAAACTCACCTACATTTTGGCATATGTGGATTACAGTAAGGATGGTGAAGCAGAGGTGACACCTGCTAAATCACTCTCTTCCTTTCTAAAGCTGTTTATCAATAAGAAATCTCCCACCTAAACTTCACGTTGCAGATGTAACACCATTTTCACAAATTCTGCAGAAAGGCTAAAACTTTATGGAAATATCATTTCCTCTACACTTAATAACGTGACATAAAAAAACAGCTTTTAGCTTTCTTTGTTCATGCCTCAGTCATTGACAGCCGGGGTTTTCTGGAAGAAGTGGTAACTTCAGTAAATCCTCTATTTTCTCAAGAAAATCATGAAGCCTCTGTCACAGTAGGAGAGCAAGAGGAACACTCAACTAATGAAGACTGTGGTTACAGAGGCACTATCAGCACCCCAGCTGGCGACGTCACAGTTGCCTAAAATGGTTGGCTATCATGCTCAGAGGCTGAAAAACCCGGTGATCCACCAAGCTTCCTTTTCTCTGTAGTCTGGCAGCAGACTCTACTAAAACACTGGTCTCACACTGGACGTATGTGATGGGAAGTAATGTGTGCTTTGATTTTAGACACCCACTTTTCTCGACGAAACAAAGGTTGAACAGAAACAGCATTCGGTGCCTGTGCAATGCTCTCATCTTCCAGTTTGGTTTCTCTTCTCTCTTGGAAAGACTTCAGAGATGAAAGCCTGTGAAACAGAAACAAATGACAAAACAGTCAAGAAAAACTGCGAAAGTACTCTGGCTGACCTCACATTAAGGAAGAGGGTGCCAGGAAGCAAACTCAGAATAGAAGTGAACAAAAGTAGAGGAAAAATTCTTCCCTGAAATCCTGTGGAACTCATGTTTCTTTGCAGTAGTTGCCTAGTGATAAAGCCCTTGCTGAAGTGCAGAGTTTCACAGAGATATGCAAGCTGATAAATGCACAGGGAGAGATTTGAACTGTGTCACAGAGGTGCAAGTCTTCTTTTCTGCTCTTCTGATGAGTTCTGCAGCATCTGTTTGTAAGAGAATACTCGGTATCAGAATTAGCACAGCTGAATGTTTTACCAGTACAGAAAGCCCTGGGAACTTTTTCCCTAGTAAAAAAGAGAAGAAACGTAGCTCATTCTTGAAGTAACTTTTGTAACACATAGCCTGACGTACAAAAATGCACTCATTTCATATGTAGGAAATATGAGCATGTTAATGCCTGGAAATTAGACAATTTCTGGCTATCAGTTCCAATAACGAAACAAAACTGCCTTCCTGAAAGCCATGTGCACACATTCTTGGCTCTTACACTAAATATGATACATCTATTCTTGAGAAAGTCACTGAGGCCTATGCTTAGGATCTCACATCTGAGTGGCAAGAAGCCCTCTGGTCAGCACTTCAGCTGGAGTCAACTTCAGAAGCACATGAGAATGCTCAGGGCTGGGTGCTTTTTAACACTCCATCTTTACATCTCCATCTGTAAAGTTAAGGAAATCACTTTTTTATAGAGTAAAAGAAAAGAGAAAAAAAATGTACGAAAGAAGACATGACACAATACTAAAGACACTGCAAGCAATGCTTTCTCTAACTTGTTTTTCAAGACCTTTGGTGATGGACATTCCTTTGTCACTCAAGCTCATCTTTTTAGCATCTTATCATGACAACAAATAGAGATTTTTCCTTAACTTAAAGCCATTACTTCTTACTGTATTTCAAGCTGGCGTAAAGAATATTTACTGCTATACTCTCTACAGGTGCACATTTGAAGACATTACATTTCACTCTAAACTAAATGTCTCCAGATCTTTCAGTCCATCAGACCCACCAACAGTTTTGATTCTGTTCTCTGCACTCTCAGATTGTTTGATGATGTTCTTCAGGCACAATATCTGAAAACCCGAAGTTGCTACCTTGTAAGATCCTATTTCTCTGGATCTGCAAACATCTCTCAAATAATTCCTTATTTATTGTTTTATCCATGCTAGATAAAAGACTGTGAATTCAAAGATTTGGAAACAGAATTCTTGCTCCAGAAAACAGGTATTACGCTAGCAAGCTTTGACTATAGTATATAAGATCAATTTTAAAGCCATAACATCAGTGGAGGTATGGGTTATGAAAATCCTTCAAGCAGAGAAAAGCCAATTTTCAAAGAATATGCATTTATTTTGGCAGGAGTTGTGACAGCCCTGAGCTGCTATGGGCAAGAGGTCTTTGTTCTGGCCATAACAGGACACATCCTCTCCACTTCCTGGCAGGTGTAGTAAACACCTGTGCCTTGAACACCTGACTCTTCATAGACAGATGTCCTGTCCCCAGGGAGGTGCCAGATGCTGCCTTGAAGTGAGCAGGGGAAACCACCTGCCTTTCCATACCTCTGCTGCTAGATGTGCTGATTTTGCTGGGAGTGGAGGCCAGGGGGAGCAGAAGACAATACAAATTAACAAGACATGTCAATCTCCTGTTTTTGCTTTATTTCACTACCATGAAGGGTAAGGTGGAAAGTACCTGGCTTATAAAGAACACTATTGTCTTTCATTTTCTGCTTGGGTGGAAATTTTGGATGAGTGTGTCTAAGCACTTTATTTCCTCTGGGAACCCTTCTTACAGCATTAAAAACCCTGATAATCTGAAATGGCTTGCAAAAACAACACCCTGGAGACTGAAACTGGGCTGGATTGCTTTCTGTATATAGTGAATAGGCAGCACTGAGTGTCAGTGGCTGAATGCAGATGAAAGTTCTTCCCAAAAAAACAAAAAATAATACTTGAAATCCATTCAGCGTACCACAAGTGTAGACAAAGAACAACTTATTCAGTTCCAGTGAATGGGTAAATAGGAGACCGAAGTGTTAGGCTAACCTGCTCACCTACAATTGTGAGCCAGATTTTCTCCTACAATACTCAATAGCACCCAAGTTCACCATCCTAGACCAATAGTTGTCCCCGGATAGTTACGCGAGGGTAAATTCTCACTAACAAGGCCAGGAGTGCTGGGGTCGCTTGGCTAGGAGAGGGCAGAGTGCTTGTAGTGCTTCACCCATTTCCCCCCCCCCCCCCGGGAGCACACACATCCTGCCTCTCTTCCGACCATCTTTTCTAATGCCACAAACTGCTGGGTAGAAGACCGGCAGAAGACTAACCACTAGGTGGCAGGAAGCGGCAGGGATTGAGCACCAGCTGCGTCCAGCTGGATCCCCATCTCTCCCAGCCTTGTGCCCGCTGCCAGCCAAGCAGTCCTCATTTGTCTTCCTAAATTCAATGGGTGCAACTCCCACCCAAGCACAGGAGCAATCCCCACTACACTCAGCAACCCTCAAAATTAATTTCCTCTTTCTCTCTCTCTCTTTTTTTTTTTTTTTTTTGGATGGGACTGTGGGTGGGAAAGATATGTTGGGTGTTTTTTGAGTCTGGCTTTGTGTTCTCATACTGCTCAAAAAAGTCATGACACTTATCTTAAAGTGGGGCATGGGAGCTATGCATGGACAGGGCCTGATCTTTTGGGGAAGAGTGGGTGATTTTTTGCAGTTCTTTGGAAGACAGGATGACGTGCCACCACCAAAAGTGGCTTTCATTGATTAAGAACAAAACAGAACCCACGTTCCTTAAATTACATCCTCAGTTGCTCACTCTTTTGTGCCTTCTTCTCTTGCAGGACTGCATGTCCAAAGAGAAAAGCCCAAAAAAACTGTTAAGTTTCTGGGCTAGAAAGTTTACTCAGATCAGTTTTTAGTACTATATGTTGGAGTAACATTTATATTTGAATTTTTGACACAGTAGAACACCAAACACAGACGGTGGTGAGCAATCCAGTTTACAGTATGGATTGAGTTTCAAATATTTTCTCAAAGTATATGTTCTTCAATTACTCTGGTGTTAGTAAAAGACCACGCCAACTAAAAATTCATATTCAAAACAGAAAAAGAGCAAGATTCTTCTTATCCATGTCCCTGTTAACTTCTATCTTTTCTGACTCAGAGAATCCCTACACAAGGAAGAAAAATTGCCTACTGTACCATCACTGTCACTATCCCTGCTTGGGCCTGGCCACAGGAATCCAAGTAAGCTGCACATCTTTTACTTTGGTAACTTGCTGAATGCCATAGGTCCCAACCCCTATCCTATCCATGAGCTGCCTTCACTGCAAGAAATGCTTTCGTTCAGTGGCTGCTAGCAGAATAGACTTTTTTTTTGTTGTTTTCTTAGAAGGGAAAACTGAGTACAGTTCTGTCCAGGGTATTCCCTGCTCCCATTCAGATCCATCTCTGACAAATACAGGGCTTCAAAATGTGCTCACCTTTACTCATCTTCTTTCTCCTTAAAAAAACAATGAATAATAATAATTTAAAAAAAATCTATATCTGCCACACAGGATATCATCAAGGACTCCTCAAGAGAGCTTGTACCCTTCCTACAGCATACAGACCATTGCAGACACTTGAAGTGGAGCATGACATGAGCAAATCAGTAACAGGCTTCCTTAAGACTCACGAAAGAAAAATGAATCACGTCCCAATTCACTTACTGTTAAGTGGGTATCGGATGAATTCCATCATAAAGAGTGTAATTTACCCCTTGAATGTGAAGAAAATCTTCCCCCACACACACAAAACAGGAACTCAGTGATTTTCCTACGAGTTTCACCAGGGAGAATCTTACTTCCTTTGGTCTGCTGCTATATGCTTATTTTCTACAGTTCACAGGCCTCCTTTCCAACTGCAGCTAAGTACATCTACTTGGATAAACCAAAGCATGTCTAAGAAGGATATCTGCTCACCTGATCAATATGCTGGCTCTGAGTTTGATCCATTGAGCCTAGATCCAGGACTGAAGATCCTCAATTCACATTAATTTGTGGACATCCTTCTACAACAGTGAATAAAAACTGAGAGTACAGTTACCAGAAGCTACTGCACAAAGTATCTGCTTCCGCCTCTCAGACACAAGGGAGTGAAACTGTGCTGCGGTGTGGTGCCCAGGTGAGTACAATGGATGAGAGGAAGGAGCCAGCATGAAAAGTGGAGGAATCCCCTCTGTGATGTAAAACAGAGTCACCTTCTTCCTGCTGAGCAGGAAGGTAGCAGTAAAGGGAAACCAAAGATTTGTCTGACTGCAAAGCTTCAGTCTAGCCCTAAGGCTTCAGTTCCGCTGATTTCGGTAGCACAATCACAGACTTTCAGACAAACAGGGAAAAGGAGGATGTGTCTGACATAACAGTTTTCACAGCAGATAAAAGTGAGTACAGAGGTTAGTGGTGGTGACAGACTGGATCCCAGCTTTCTCTTTTGTCACACAGAAAAAAAGAGTTCAGTTACAGTTTGTCCCCAACATATTTCAGCATAAACTTTTCCTGAAATGAACTTCTGGTGGATAAACCAAAAGGAAGAAAATTAATGATAAAAGAATATTTTTATGGTATTGTGTTTGTCCAAATAAAGAGCACTCCAGGGTAACGGAAGCAAGTGGAGCAGACATACCACACAGGCCATTGCAACTGCTATTAACCCCTTTCCATCATGGAGAAGGACAATTCCATTATATACGTGTGGTCAGGAAGGTTACGTTCCCAGGCCTGATTTACTGTTAAAGCAGCTCTGTTAAAGTCACTGAAAGAGAACCATGAGAAACACACAAGTATCAGTGTAGAGAGTAAAGGAAAACCATACCAAACCATACCAAACCTTGAACCTAGCCACAGAGCTCCTGCCATAGCCATCAGAGCAACATCCACAAAGTCAGAAGATCACTTAATATTTACTCAAGGTACACCAAGCAGATCAGTGTGAGCACAGGAAAGAGAGGCTGAGCCTTTGGTTTGTAGTGGGCATTTAAAATCAGCAGGAGAACTGAGAAGGACTGGAACATGAAATATCCCACCCTGAATTTACTACTCTGATTCTCTCTGATTCTCATAAAATGCCTTACTCAGAGGACAGCCAGTGCAATGAAGTACAACTTTCCATAAGCAGAAAATATACTTACAGCAATTAACTATCAGTCTTCTTCTGAAGAACAGAAAAATAAATACGCTTTATGGCAGGGCCTCATAGAAATGCAATTTGCCCAAATACAAAAGAGGAACGCTTATAAATTTAAGCCTGGATATTTTAACAAGATGTCAAAAATTAATCTTCCTAACATTCTCTTAATTATTTTTTCATAATCAGACATCTTGCTAGCTATTCCTCCCGAAGGAGGGCAGCATTACTAGTTTATGTGTTCGTGACTAACAGCTGCATGAGATTAGATTATCTTTAATTTTTGGCTCTTTTTTACTCTATTTTGTTATTCCAAAAACATAGACATGCCCTCTAATGGGTTAGTCTCTAACTTAAATACATAAAAAATTGTTTGGAAAATTGTATATTATCACAGGTAGTGTTTTAACAAGCTCCTGGTTTTTAATTAGGACTTGATTTCTTACTGGTTACTCCACCACTGCTTGAATGTCATTATAGTAGCAAATTTTCCATTATAGGAGCCATTTGATACCTTAGAGCACATCGCACATGCAGAAAAGCTGCCATGACCCCATGCAAGATTTGGGCTCTGCTGGCTGACACCTACTACTCTCCAGGAAACCAAGGCCGCCGGGCTTGACATGGCCACATGCAGCAGCACCTCTGTTGATAACGGCAGGTAGAACTCTCTGGAAGACTCAAGAACTCTCATTCAATTACCCAACCCAGCACACAGCATTGGTGCAACTCTGGACTTTCTTCAGGTTTACTCAAGGGTCATGAATCAACAACCAGAGCTGAGTACAGTGGGAAAGGTATCAGAGCAGGGAACAGGTCATGGGATTACTGGGCCCTATGTCTGGACTTCCAAGACAAACAAATCCTCCTCAGAGTCTTCATTGCCCTATGAACTTCCCCCGAGAGGAATAATTAGGATAAGGAGAAATAAACATCATTAGCGTCTTTGTCTTCTGAGACTGTCCAGAGCTTGCAAAGGTCTTTGGGATAGCAAGGAAAAACAACACAGCTTTTGAGGTGCCAAATAGAGGTTTTAACATTCATAGTTTAAAAAAAAAAAAAAAAGTTTTTCTTCTTCCATTTCATCTACTCTTTCCCTGTATTTGTTGTAAATGCATATGTATGTAAATGCATATTTATTTCCAACAGGAAAGGTGCACGTGTGGCAGATGAAAGGGCTGCATTCAGGGCATGATGCACACAAAGCAATGCCCTGTAATCATCACGGCATTGGGGGACAGGGTGTCACCTCACAGTAATTGCTTAACTTCTTTGAAACCACAGGCTTGGGCCCTGCCAACAGACACAGGCAGAGAATGAAGACGCAAAAGGGCAGGTGGCACTGTCACTTGCATGAGGCAGCTGGGACACAGGTAAGCGTCACCATATACCTGGAGCTTGAGATTGAATGATGCACCTCAGTCTGATATTGGCCTGCTAAACTGGGCTCAGTTTCTCAGTGTGGGGGAGCTCGAAAAATCTTCAGCAGCACAGAAATAGCATTTTTGTCCAAACAAACACAGAAGGCTTTTGCAGCTGTGTCTTGAAAATTTCATGCTCTGAAGTAGTCGATAGGAGAAAGGATGCTTAGGTCAGTGGCATCTACCTACAACATTTAATGTGATCATCATAAGTGATATTTAGACTTTTTTTTTTTTCCCCATGGAATGTACACATTAAAATTTCTCTCAGAAAGTTGAAAGAAGAAAAAAATGTTTTCTGATGAAAAAAATCTGTTTTTTTTTTTTCCCCTTCAGTTCCAGCTTTTAGGTCATTAAGTATAAAAATATTTCTGAAAGATTGTAGGAATTCATTTTGCCTCTATCTGAATAGACACTTTATTAATTCATTTGAAAAAGTTACTTTTTAAACTCGCAGGTTTTTTTCCCACACCCATCAGCACTCAGCCCGTGAAATCAGCTAGCTGTTATTTTAGGAGTGGTTACCTTGGTTAAGGAACAAACAAGAACTTGAGGGAAAGGATAGGGCACATTGGGCTGTTTGGTTAGCAAGAAATACCATTTCTGCATCATAATAAAATCTCCAACTTGCTCCATGGTCGCTCATGCTCCATTAAGAAAGAGAAGACAAAGGTAGGAAGCCCTCTCAGTCTGATTGCACATTACTCATTTCCTCAGGTCCTTCACAGTAGCACAGCAAACACCTATCTGTGTTTGTCCTTGATAGGAAGAGGAGGGAGGAGGAAGTGGAAGGAGAGGAGGAACAGGGGACCGGAAAGCATGGGCTTTAAAAGCACTGGGGGCAGTGGAAATGACTGAAAACCACATCTTAAACAAACAAAACTTGGTGTGCTATCTACATCTAGTCTTTGAATGAGGGAGAGTCCCACGGGGAAAAATGCAGGCTGAGACTTTGCTCATTCACATACCCAAGGAAGCCAGATATAGATAATGTTTGTAATTGAGTCTATCATTTATTTCTTAACCTCTGTTTACACAAAGGTATAAAGCTGATTTTCCTATTATTTATCCTGTTATCTGGGCAGCCTCCTTCTCTTAGGACCTCCTTTCCGCTTTTTAATACCGAGGGCAGATGCCACTGGTGATGCCTCAGCCCTTTCCTTCCTCTATGCAATTAGTTCAAACCCTCAAGTGCAGAGGGACTTCACACACCCTTTTCCCATGCATTACCTCCTCCCTGCTAGGGCATTCCATGCCACCCATTCCTCTCCAGCTCAGTTCTTGCACACTTTCTGTCATTGTTACCACAGACATGACATCTCTGTGGGTCAGACAGACTCTTACCATGTAAACATGATGCATTTTGCATGAGGTAGCTCAGGTATGCATTTCCATATTTAAAAAATGGGGTTCTTTGAGGCTGAATGTATTACCACTTACCTGAGCATTTCATGAATAATATTTTAACACTAGGGATGTCTCAGGTGAAGATACTTCCAGCCAACAGGCAAGAAAATTCTTCTCTTTGGCAGCAGAGTTGAAGCAGGAGTGAAGAAATAGGTCTTGCTTCCCTGCATCTTCCCATTCAAGCATGGAAAGAGCTTCTGCTTCATCTGTGTAATCACACACATGCATATTTTTCCCCAGAGATTTTTTTAAACAAAACTCCTAAAGATTTCTACGCTGTTCATCAAAAGGCTGTATAATTGCTGTAAAACTCCTGTGCTCCTTACGATCCGTAAATTGAGCAGATGTTTGAATTCAGATCCTTTTTAAACAAAAGCCTACCCTGCATATGAATCTCAGGAGTTAAAAAGCATTTTTTTTTTTTTTTTTTTATTATTTTTATTTTTACCTCTCTTGCATTAGATCAGTTTTCAAAACTTTCCACTTTGGCAGTATGGCAGTAGTACAGTAAGCACTCCATGCAAGTACTTTTGTGTAAATAACAAATGGACAGAAGACATAACCAAGAGCTGACACCCAACCTGCCTGAGCTTTGTATTTTTGAACTTTAGCCTCTAACTGGAAGACCTACTACAGTGGTTCCTGCAAGCAGGTCAATGTTATCAATTTGCTTAGGAGGCACTAGATGCCCAGTAGGTGTTCCTGCAAGCAGACACAGTGAAAGTCTTCAAAAAATCATTTATCTCAGGCAAATTAGAGTATAGTCTCATAGGATCAGCTCAGTACCTCTGAAGTCCAGTCTAAACCATACTGCACAGCTATACAGCAGTACTACAATAGTCCCTCCACCAATGTCTGTCCTCATCTTTGTATGAGTTGAACAATAGATCCAGGTAACATAATACCACAAAATGAAAGATGGATCTATTTTATGCCAGGAATTAACACTTAGCCTTGTCCCGTCCCATTAAAAAAAAAAAAAAAAACAAAAAACAAAAAAAAAAAAAACAGAAATCTTATTGAACTAAAAATGTCAGTTTAAAACCCAGCAACCACAAGCTCTACACAAAATGAAACATCAGGAAGGCTAAAGCTTAAATTGTCACCGCAGGCCTTTATCCCCAGAGCTGAGAGACTACTTGATGATACATGTTATGTACATGTTCCCACAACCATGGGATCTACAGATGTCTCTGCAACTTGACTTATGGAATAAGACAGCATCTTTCAGCAAGAGAAGTAAGACTCTGCTTTCTCTTTGTTGTGGCTGATTAGAGAGGGATTGTAGCAAATATGGAGCTAACCCAGAGATCCTGTCACTCTCTTGGCATTTAATATTTGGTTTAATTACGTTGCCGCTGGCAGATCTCCTTCCAACTGCTTAACTCAATATCAGCAGGCTCTATGGAGGGTATGAAGGACTCCTAACATGGGCCAGTCCCACTGTCAGTCTGTCACTATTCCTGGAAGCAGGCGGCTGATGGTCTTCTGAGTAATATGTAGCAAGTTTACATCTTATCTAAACCAATCTGATGACAAAAAACAGTAACAGTAGAGCAGCTACTTTTAGCTACAGTTGTGCGTCTGTAACTTTGACAAAACAGGGACTCATTGATCTGTCATCTCCTTAAGATCCAGTAAAAGCTAACACTCTCTGCAGTTTCCTGTAATCCATCAGTTTGAAATTCTTTCCTGAAATATCGCTTGGATAATATCAGCCTGATATTTCTGGAGGCACAACTCCCAGATTAGATGTTGACTACCTTTGAGAGCAACTTGTTGAATAACTTCCTGGACAAAACTGAAAAATCTGGCTTGGTGCACAGAAGCACAAAACCTAAGGACTGGTATTATCACCAACTATTATGAACTAAGAACTTCCTTCAGGCTGGCAGGGCAGAACACCTTGCATTTTACACCGCATAATGCGGAACAGATGGCACCACTGAGGTGAGTGACTACTCAGGCTTAGCTGGCAGCAGAAGGCTGCTGCAATACAGACTCCAGGTAACCCATCCTCTTCATTTTGCAGCTCTCCCTCCCTATAGATGATAATGATGTCAGAAGTCAAGAAACTTTTGGAAAACCTAATACCTCTGCCTACCTCAATGCAGGAGCTTCCTATGAGAATAGGGAAGGGAGTAGCTGCAGTGCATGCGCCATCACTGCTGCTCCAGGTCTTCAGCACAGCTGCACTCACGTAATCGAAAGAATGCAACACTATTGCAGATCTCTGAAAGCACTTTGATCTTTCTGAAAAAAAAAAAAATCAATTGGTCTTCTATAAAGAATTATTTTCCAGAATACTCCTGAACCCCAATGAGCGCTGGTGCAAAATATTCCCTTATCTTCAAAGCCTTTAAATGGCTCTCAGTACAAAAATAAGACAAAACAGATGTATTTCAGATTAAAAGAGAGGAAAAAAAAGCACTGGAAGAAATAACAGGAAGAGTCACAGCTTATCACATTAATCTCAGAACTGAGTGCAGAACACTTTAAGATATTGACAGTGGAATGAATAAGCAATGCCATGCTTTTTAATTTGAGTCACTCATAAAACTGTCTGTGAAATATCAGGATGTACAGACTGCAGTTGTTTCCTTTATAGTTGTCATGTTTACAGTAATAGGCACTGGAAAAATAGGACGCCCTTGATTTTGGGGGGTTTTCAAATTGTAAAAATATTTTCTGACCCACTCTTCCCCCCCCCCCTCCCTCCCCAAGTCCTCATTTAAAGGGTGAGCTGATAAGTTCACAAAAGCAATGACATTTACAGGACACACCTTCACAGCCTATTTGTCTATTGATGAAAACACAGCATGATGCCTTCCTTTGACCCTCTACACCCCTCTTCAGTTCAAAGCACTGCTTTCCATTCACAGTCACAGCTGTATGAAATCTGTCCATGAAGATCCATAGGCATCCCAGCAGTACTGCCAAAACGCATTTAATTTGGAGCCAGAATGTGCTTTTCTTTCCACTGCACCATATCTAACCTTTGAGCATGATGGTACAAAGGCAATGGAAAGTGAACATCCAGAAAAGCAATGAAAAGAGAGGTGGAAAGGAAAAAAAAAAAGAATGAGTACGTGGGTAGTGAGAAAAGTTAAGACACAAGAACAGGGGAGATACAAGATACACAGAAGATAGAGAAAACCAGTGTCTATTTGTGAATCTGCCCTGTTAATGCTGCTGTATGTTCTCATCCCACCTACACCAACAGCACATTATGGCTTTCCTTCCCCTTCTGTCCTAATTGTTTCTTGTGAGCTAAAACTCAAGGCGGTACATTTTGCTCTTCTGTGACAATCTTCAGACACTCAAGCAGTAAAGGTTAAAAATTAAGAGAAATAACTCAGTTGTCCAACTGAGTTACACCCATGTTTACCACCTCTTGTCCTCCCTCCTGCAGTGCCCTCCTGTAGGAAATCAGTGGCAGCTACCAGAAACCCTTAGGAGAAACAAAGGATGGAAGTCATCTATTTAGAATAAGTTTTGCTACTAAAATAAAACAACAGTTCAGCCTTTACCCTCCCTGTCTGAGCTGGGTCATTATATCAACAGCATTGCTCATAAAGAGCAAGGCAAACTGTGGTTTGGTGGGCCTCAATGTCTTCCTGCCCAACTGCTTGGAAAGGGAAAAACAACACGGTGCGAAGAAAGTGGTTTGAACTTTCTCAGGATGTGGAGCTAAGAAGCTCAAGGATCGCTGCCAGATTGTTCTGTGGAGATTATGAAGCAGAAAGAAAATATAAGCTCAAGATTAAGATTCAGTGGGAAGTTTTAATTCCTACTCACATGGGACAAATGAGTTGTTCGTTTATTTTTAGAGTTAAGGCATAGAGACATGATTTTTAGGGTTTTTTTTATTTTTCCTGCTGTACACTACTTCAGTCATATGTAGGATGCTCTGAAAGAAAGGCTTATTTGTTTCCATTGAAATTACAACAAATACAAAGAGCAAAATAACTGTTTGAGAGAGTAAATTCCAAGCTACAAAACACTATTTTTTCAACACAGTCACCACTATTAGCTATGTATTTTCACCATCTGTAAGCAAAAGCCTGCATGCAGTGCTCATAAAAACATGCAGCAGTGGAGGTGACCACTGCCGAAACGAACCACCCATCACCTCACTGTGCTCACATCCACTGTTTGATCTCCAGAAACATTCAGCTAGAGCCAATGAATGTCATGGATGCAATGGGAGCAAAATTTCTCCTTGTGTGATTTTTAGGGTTTTCTGTTTCCACTTAGGTAGCATTTGTCGTTAGAAGGGGAGTGATTGGTTAGGATTTGGGAAGGCGAAAAAAAAAATCACCTACTTTTTGGAAGTAACTATATCTGTCCCAGAGGTAAAAGCTGCAACCTAGAAGCTAGTATGTGGAAAGGGTCCCAACTAAGAGCACTAAAAGGAGCTGAGTGCAGATGAGAAGCAGGAAGATAAATTTACACATGCTAGAAGGTACTGTGCCATTTTTCTGCAATGCAGAAAAACACCAACTTGTCTGGAATCAATACTAGAAGCAAGAACCAGCATGCAGGGACACTGAGAGGCAGCAACAGTTAATTAACTGTTCTGCCATGTAATAGTTCTTTTAAGGTCTATCAGCAAAAACATCAGCATTAGACAGAGCCATAGAATTATCAAGGCTGGAAAAGACCACTTAGATCAAGCAGTACAACCATCAACCCATCACCACCATGCCCACTATGTCCTGCAGTGCCTCATTGACATGGTTCTTGAGCACCTCCAGGGATGGTGACTCACCAGCCTGTTCCAGTACCTCACCACACTTTCAGAGAAAAAGCTTTTCATTATATCCAACTTGAACCTCCCTTGATGCTACTTAAGGCCATTACCTCGTCCCATCACTGTTACCTAAGAGAAGAGGCCGACTCCCAGCTCACCACAACCTCCTTTCAGGTTAACTGTAGAGAGTAATGAAGTCTCCCCGAGCCTTCTCTTCTCCAGACTGAGCAATCCCAGCTCCCTCACTCACTCCCCATAAGACTTGTGCTCCAGACCATCCACCAGCTTCATCACCCTTCTCTGGACATGCTCCAGAGCCTGAGTCCCATTGCTAACCCATACCCCTTAGTGCCACATCAGCACATCTCTTAAATACCTCCAAGGATGAGGAGACATCTATTTCTCTGCACAGCCTGTCATGATGCTAGACCATCCTCTCCACTAATGTCTAGTTTCAGCTCTCCTGGAAACAGGTGAATTCATATACAAATCAAAACCCACCAAGGTCCCATGCCAAATCTGTGCACGTGTGGGGTCTCCATGGACAGAGGCTCTCCTACAGCGCCTTGAATTGCAGCTGGCCTCTGACCTGCACTCCTGTCAAATCACACAAAGAATCAGCCCCTTTAGCTTCTCTTGACAAGGTTAAACACCTCCCTGTAATCCTATAATCCTTCATTAATCCTGTAATCATGCTTGCTACTCCCTGTAATCTCTGTCAATAGCCCAATACTTTTTGGCACCTCAGCAATGCAGGGCAGGCTAAATACCTCTTTTAAGTCTGAGGGAACTACCACCCATTGCCCAGTGCTCTGAACTTAAGAATGAGAAGTAGAGACTGTTTTCTGCTCTGCTTGTCCTTTGAGATCATTTTTCTTCCTTACAAATAAGAGAAACTGCAGCAACTCCATTTCTGAATAGTTGCTGCTTTGGAAATACCAATGGAAAAAGAAATTCACATAAAATCCAAAACCTACCTGAAATCTCAGCACAGCTTATTTGGTTTGTTGGACATTTTAATTACTGTAATTGCTTTCCTTCAGATCAAGGCAGCGAAGTGGTAATGTAAAATGCCGATTTAGTGTTATTTGCAAGCTATCCTTTAACACAAAACATTTTCATAGTAGTTTATAAAGGTAAACTGAAACATTACAGAACACTTCAAACTAAAGATCTATCAAGCCTTGAAATACTTCCCACAAAATATTTGTTAATAACACTGAAGGCTCCCTCCACCATTTCAGTGGGAAAGGCAAAAGTTGCAATTTTTCACTTTTACCCTATTTTTGGAAGCAAACTTCTGGCAGCAAAGACGAAGCACTATTTTCTTTTTGACTTATTATTTATACTGTAAAAAGATGACTATAAATGCTTTGTTTTGAAAATAAATACACTGATACATACCATATATGTCCATGTCAGAATAGAAGAATCATTTCTAAACGTCTAAGTCATACAACATCTGAATGAAGACAGACAGTGTTCTGAGACATTGGCTGCATTTAACAACCCCACTTCTCAAGAGTGCTTGTTCAGAGGCATTTCTTCTGTGAGAAAGTACTCCAACCTAAGCATTTCCTCAAAAGAGCACAAATGCTTGTCAATTCCAAACATAGCTGAAAACTACCTCCCAAAGGAGGAATGATTAATAATTATACATCAGCATAAGAACATATGAAAGCTGTACTTGCCCATATCCATTCTGTAATGGACTGGATTATACATACACCATTAAAATAGGCTTTCTATACAAGATAGACACGAAGCAAGGGCATGGAGTTAAGTCCACTTTCACTATCCCAGGAGCGGTGTAAATCCACTCGGCAGAGTACTTATCAAAGTTGCTGTTGGCCAGGGTTGGAAGGGACTTCAATGATCATGGATCTCCAACCCCCCCACCACATGCAGGGCCACCAACCTCCCCATTTAATACTAAACCAGGCTGTCCAGGGCCCCAAGAAGAAATGAAGGGTTCAAAAAATCATTGTAGGGTTGAAGAAATCATCATAACATCCACATGAAACAGATTAAGACAATAGCAAATATTTCATGCCTCTTATTTACCACTTATTTCCCCAGAAGGTTATGAGGGGAAGGGAAGGGGCAATTGTGCAGTTTCTAGGAGTATCTCCTTTCTTCTATTAAAATACTGATACTTCAGTTAATAAAAAAAGACTGAGGAAGAGAGACCTCACAGCAGAAACTTAACTTTAAAGACAACAGGAAATATCCTGAGGAGTATTCCCAAGAAACCAGAGCTCTGCCCTAATCAGCGAAGTCAGTTACTTATACCATTTGAGACTTTCAGCCCTGATTTTCTCAAATGACCCTCTTTTCCCTGCATTCAGCATAACAATTTTCTGGGGTGCGCTTGCTGCTTTCTATGGCTAGTTGTGCCCCTCCACTGTTTGCACTGAATAGATTGACAAGTACCACTGTCTTGGAAAGGACAGAGGAAAATACATTTTTGTCTGGCAGAAAGGCAGCTCCAATTCCTGTGGGAAGATAGGGATTTTTCCATAGATGGGAAGCCTTTCTGCACACTGTTGCTTACGTGACAAAAATAAACACTTAACAACATATCCATGTTGATTTTTAAGCATCAAGCTTAACAAGGAGTTTTATTCTGCCTAAATTCAACATTAGATTGAAGTTTCTTACACAGATTCGTCCTGCACAGCACAGTCTGAAGACTCCGAGAGCACAAACTTCACATGGAATAGAGCAGCTAAGGCCAGTCCTTCTCCCTCACTTAGCACTCACTTCCTTTCTTTAAAAGCTTGATGTGGGAGGGATCAGTTTTTGCTACCTTAGCTTTGTGCCAAACTGATTTTTAATCCCCTTACCTGCAAAACCACAGTGAGCTACAGCCACAGGATGGCTCAGGGTGGCCATGAAGATATGCCAAGCTTCTCTCACATTCAGGCATTTCTCCTCACTATATCTTCTGAGATGTCTGAGAAAATACTCTGCAATGCATCCATCAAAGCTTGGTGCATTTTCCTGGCATTGCCTGCAGGGCACAAAGAGCACTGGCTCTCTGTTGGTGAGTGCAGAAAGGAAACAAACCATACTGAGAGGATGTTGTACTTTTTAATCTTCTTCTGTGCTGCCAGTAAGGAAGGCAGAATTATGCCAGTATATGTCACCCTAAGTAAAAATCAGTTAGCAGAAATCCCCAGCTGCTTGACATAAATCAAGCTTAACGTCAGTGCAATAGTTGAGAGTGCGTGCTTCCCTTTTCCGCCCCAGTAAAGCACAGGTCACAGTGCTCTACAGGCCCACAGTAGCACATCTTCTTTTCCATGAGTCCTGACAGGATGCTCAAGCTGCTCAGGGTGGGGACAGTCACCTCCGCTTCCACCCAGTCTGCCTGCAACCTGCCTGGCAGATGCTTCACACAGCAAGAAAGTGACCTGCGCTGCTTAACTCCCCTTGTAAGTCAGCAGCGGGAAACCCCTACTTCCTTTTTTTAATCAGACTACCACATTGAAATACATTGTTTTGCATTGATTTACTAAACTGCAATTAACAAGGAAATCCAACTCCTCCATTTCCTTAAGGAAACTGATTAGCAGTTTGGGCTACTGGCCTGCTCTTTACCCCTTGGTTCAGCGCATTCAGGGGGTCATGCTTCCTTCTCACAAGCAGAGCTACTGGGTGCCAGGAAGCACCAACACCACACTATAGAGTTTCCAACTGCTGGAAAACCAGCAAAGTGAGTTTCTTCCAACACACCAGTGAGTCATTATGTGGTTGCCTATACAGAAGGATCTGCGGAAGACTGATATTTGACTGATGCATGAGATTAAAGCCTTGGAAATAGTAACATCTCACTCAGAATAAAAAAAATGGCACAAGGTCCCTAAGAGGAGACAGCCATGGCCTGTCTGTCCATGTGCAGGAAGTGAACATGGCTCTCTAAACACAATGTTAGAAATTCACATTAAGATCTTCCAGCTCAACAGCCCTTTTGAGCACTGCTCATCAGTGGCACTGAGCAAGAATGCACATAACTTTCCTGCTAACTTCAGCCTATCTTAAAAAAAGAAATCCAGACACACACGCACAATCATACATCCTCTTAGCTTCTAAAATTATCCTGCATTTCCTCCTGCTCAGCATAACATCTTGTTATGTTGAACAATGAGAAGGACAGCTACTAGCACACTTACAAAGCAAATGGATCAGTGAAAAATGATGTTAGGATACAGGCAAAATGCAGTTGTACAGCCACCTCAAGCAGCTGGCCTGATGTCGGGCTGGTGGTCAGTGCAAGAACAAGAATAAAAGCCCAGTACTCTCAACAAATGCAATACTTTTTTTCTCCACAAACTCTCTTTCCTAGAAGCCAAGCTCTGCCTGCTAAGGTTTTACTGTTTCCATCAGTCACACATGGACATTGTTATCTCTAGCACAGCCTGCTCCTTCCTGTCCCTTCAGTTAGCACAACTGAAGACTTAGAATAGTAGCTTCGTTTTGCATGCCAGGGACAAAAGCACACAAAGAGAGGACACAGCTGGAGGAATGACATTCATTGTGACTTCAGAATAAAAGCAAATGTCTCAAAAGGTTCTGAGAAATGGGCTGTCAGCCAAAAAAAGCATCTCATACACAACCTTGGGGTTTACCTCAGGAAGGCTGCTGTTCTGCATTTGTTAACTTTTGCGAAGTGCAGGGTGGCTAGCCTAGTTTCCCTAAGGCCATTTAACCCTGCAGCCCCAATTACTTAGTTCCTACCCCACACCATGAGCACAGCTCAGCCCAACTGGTGAGCCAATCAACACCTCAGCAGATCTAGGATTTAAAATGAAGCATTTCAGGTATTGCAAATCTATAAGCAGAAAGTTATGGAGCAGTTGGTGTTTGAACTGGATCAAGTATTTTTACCAAGTAAATTTATTGGAGTTGTTTATACAGATAAATAATTCATACTGCACCTGCACAGCAGCTCGTCAACATCAACACTCATGGTCAGTGATATACACAGACATAACCACACACATTTTTTTTGGCCTTAGAGAGGCAGCCACTCTATAAGTCATTATTCTGGCTGGACTTCTACAGAACAAATAACTCTGTTCTGAAATGTAGAATTTAGCTCCTGCTAAACTTCTCTGTTGACTTTTTAGCTGGCTTGTGCTTGGGTTTGTGCCAGACACCTCCAGAGCTGCCCTCCACAGCCTTCTAGCCCCAACCCCCAACTTCCCCACGTGTGAGGAAGCACAGTCTTAACCTCCACGTGTCTCATGAGATGGAGCAGTTCAGATACACAAGCACTACTTAAACCCAAAAGACTGGCAGTGATCCTGAGGAACAGACAAATATTAAGACAGAACAAAGACTGAGCAAGACTTTAAACGTCAGTGCTCATCAGTAGAGGAGAAATTAATAGAAGACCCCTGCAGTCCCTTTATCCATCCATTCTGCCAGAGACATGGTCCATGAAGTTGGCACAGCCAGAGGTACACGATAGGCCCAGGGAGGCAGAGGCATTCCTAACTGCTGACACCCTGCAAATCAGATGGGTGCAAGGCAGTGCAGGGAGCTCGATGCTCCCAGAGCCATGCTGCAGCAGTGACATAAAGTGAGACAGGCAAACATGGGAGCAAGCCTGGAAATGATCAGACCTTCAGACACAGGTTGGCAATCAGAGGGGAAAACAAAACAAAACAAAAAAACTTGGAGAGGCTCTGATTCTACCTGCAGAAGCAGTCAGGTCTCAGTTTCTGAGAGGAACACAATGCTTTCCTCTGCCATCAAAATCATAGCAAAGCAACAAATTCAGCTTCTGTAAAAACTTTCCATTGATCCTGTTAAATCCACAGTGCCATAGCACAGTTAGCTTAGGGTGTAACATCCCACACAAGTCTACGTAAGGAATAATTGCCTTTGGCCAACAGAACAATTTGTCTTTGCTTAAATACAAACAACATGAATAGACAGAGACAAGGGATGGAGCAGCGTATCAGATGACCACAAGGATGATCAAGAAGGCCAGTCCATGCTTTTTGACAAGCAAGCAAGCAACAGGCTGAGGCATTAACAGCACTGCATGAGAAGGCAGAGAGAATGACAGCAAAGCAGACATAAAGGAGGGTATGACAGTAGTTCCACTACTGAGCTTTGTTTCAATCTTCTCATTGCATATTAAATAATCAACTAACTAACAAACAAACCAAAACAGGATTTGAAAGAAAGCCATATAAAATACATTACTGAAAACACTTCTTTCCCAACCATGACTGCTACTGCCTTCAATCTGTCGCCTGACTGGAATCCTTCTGACCTTTTACCAATAATTTTGGCAGATTTGGTGTGGTTTGAGACCTCCAGCAGCAGATCTTTCTAGAGGTAGCTCAGAAATACAGCTGTTGACACTTTCAATGAAGAGCAAGGAGCTGCATTAGCTGGGTAAGAAAGAAAAGAAGATGGCAGGAAGAAAATGATGAATCGCTGAGTCGCAAAGCATAACAATGCAGAAAGCTATTAGTAAAATAATCCCTCCAGCTCTTTACTGAGAGCAGTTACGCACTGAAGAGGACCTCCAGATTGCTCACAGCTTCCATGGGAAGAAAGCAAATACATTTGCAGACTAGCAGTACCAGGAACGGCATAAGCAGAGCAGATATCGTCTGGCAGCAGAAGAGAGGACTAAGCATTCCCTCTGGTCCTCTTCCTCGTGATGTAGTCTTTAGATCAGAAATCAAACACCCTGCTAGTCTTTCAGCAATGAAGATGCTGAGTAGAGAGCTCAGAGCTTTGGTCCTGATGTGTTTTCCTTTTACTGCTGCTACCTTCCAGTCATGCAAGTCTCTGCTTTTAGTGTTGACTTCAGGATGCTAGGCTGTAACGATCCAGGAGATGAATGGAAATCCTCTGCAATCCTAGAAAACAAAGAAAAAAGCTGAAAAAGGATAAACCAGAGAGGCTCATAGTAAGTATGGCTTGAGAGTCATTTGCTTGCATCACTCTGAAAGTAAGTGGAAAACTGCCACAACCCTTTTTGGATGGACCACACTGGCACCTGAATGCAAGGTCTTACTACATGTTTAAACAGAAGACCATAAATAAGCAAGCATTTCCAAATAAGACACAGCAAGCACAGCATGACAAGTTTCCAGGATTAGTATAAATCAATTTGCATATTATAAAAATAATTACTTGAAAAAAAAAAAAAAAAAAGATTTTCTATTTCCTACAAATACAACTGCAAAGGAATAGGTAAAATTATTACACTTCCTTTTTGTTAAACTAAAATCATGAACACCCATTCAAACAATATTGCAGATTTTGCAAAACACTGATCTGAAGTACATATTATGATTATGAATCAGAGGACAGCTCTATTAAGCACATGCAATAACAACAACGCTTAGAAAAATCACAGTTTTTTGTGATTTTTCACAAAAGACTTTGCAAAACTACTTAGTTTTTAACATGCTGGGTTTATGGCTAGCCTACCAATTGCTCTCATTTCAGTGACAAGCAATGTATCCAAAAGACAAGACAACATAGCAACCTACTTAGAAAATGACAGCTAATAGATTTAGTAGAGACGTGAAACATAGAAGCCCTGCCATCCTTGCTTTCTGTGTAGAGGACTAAGAAAGGTTTCCACCTCTTTGTCCAATAGCTACAGCTGTTTTCTTGTTTGTTTTGTTTTTTAAAAAAAGGAAAAACATCAGAATTTAAAATTGACTCCCCAAGAACAAGAAGTTCAAGCAGCCAAATGATGTTTCACAGGAATGCTATTTATCAGCCTTTTCAAATGCTGGCCATTCTCTGGTTATACACAATGCTCTATTGTTTGCATAAAAGAAGGAAGAAGGACCGGGAAATCATTTCATGGAGAAGTAAAAACAGATATGGTGCGTGGAATAGACACTCTGGTAGTCACACCTAGCAAAGGCCTCTGCAGACAGAGGGCCATTTTTAGCAGCACATGACGAAGCGCCTCTCCTCCAGTGAGGCAAGACAATTTTGAGATGCTCTTGCTCACTGCTCTCCATGATGGAAGGCAGGATGAAAATTGTGCTCCTCCAGCAAAAGGAACACATTACAAGAAAGCACGATGGGAAAGAGAGAAAGTATCAGCTCTCCTGCCCATAGTGATTTAAGCAGAGAATATTAAAAGATGGGATGCTCCAAAGAGCATCCATAGCCTGCTCTCTGTATGGAGCAGACTGGAAAGTACTGCTGGGTGCGCTTTTGTAAACAGAACAATTTTAAAATGACTTACTATCAAACAGGAGCTATGTCATGAAACTTTCTGGGCAGCTGCACATGATGGCCTCTAAATTACCATTCTGCTGATGAGTGTTTGTATTGGCCCTTTTTGTTTTTCTCTTAAGGCTATTTAAGTCTTCTTGGTTACGTTATATTTTGGTTGTATTTTTTTAAGCTGTGGTTTTGGGGGTTTGTTTTTGTTTTGTGTTTTATTTAGTGTTAAGAAGTGAAAAGGAATGAAGCTGCAAATAGAATCCTTTGCTCACACTGAAGCCACAGGAGAGGGAACCAATGTGACCATAGACTAACCTCCCCCCTGGAATGCCACAGTATCCAGAGGCCATTCCCATGGGCATAGCTGGCTGTGCATCCTCTGAAAGACTGATATTCAGCTGTCACTTCAGGAAAACTATTCAGAGAAGTCTCCTAAGACCAACCTCTTCTCGTGTTGCTCATAACTATCAGGTTTGCCACTCTTACAAAAAAAAGCACAGCAGTGAGTCAAAGCACACTGAACAAACAAGTCATACCAATTAAATGAGAACTTGCATAACCTTAAGCCAACACACAACCTTCCCAAAAATAAGTACTTGAGAATGCTCCAAAAATAATTCTCTTTATTGTAAACAGAAACACGACAGAAAAATAGCAAGTCTGTACAAGTGCTTGTTGCTGGAAAGTTTCCTGAATAACTGGAATCCAATGCACAACACTTCCATATTTCCCAGACTTCTGGGATACCTTCAGCCCCCCGAATTTGATTTTTTATTAACTATGTATTATAGCTGACCAGCAAAGATACCATTTGCAGCTTAACAAGGCTGAATCTGTATCATTTTCAGCAACTCCAGAAATTCAAAAAATAATAATCAAGGAACCTTTAATTCCTATTCAGGTTAGTAATTTATAGTTGGTGCTTCAGAGATATTTCCGCTGTTTTATAGTGCTCACGTAACATTCCAGGCATTTCAAGCCAAAGCATCTCTTCAACATCTGTTAGCCATATTCTCACAAAGGTTTGTCACAGAATCATAGAATCAATTACCAAACACCAACCCACTACCACCATGCCTCCCTAACCATGCCCCTCTGTGCTGCATCCATAGTTCTTGAATATCTCCAGAGACAGTGACACCTCCACCTCCCTGGGCAGCCTGGGCCAATGCCTCACCACTCTTCCTGAAATGTTTCCTAACATCCAGCTTGAACCTCCCCTGGCACAACTTAAGGCCATAACCTCTTGTCCTGTCACTGTTACCTGGGAGAAGAGGCCAACTCCCACCTCACCACAACAGCTTTTTGGGCTGTTGTAGTGGCCAATAAAGTCTCCCTTGAGCCTCTTTTTCTCCAGACTGAATAATCACAGCTCACTCAGCTAATCCCCATCAGACTTGTGCTTCAGACCCCTCATCAGCTTCGCTGCCCTTGTCTGGAAACACTCCAGGACCTCAACTTCTTCCTTGTAGTGGGGGGACCAGCACTACTTTTGAAATGAGGATTATAATACTTAACAAAGTAGATAATTGTATGAAATATAAATTCCATAAGATTTTCACACAAAGGAAAACTTCAATGTTTCAATTTCCAAACCAGAGAACCTCATTGCCATGCAAAAGTTTTCTACAGAACAGATTTTTAAATCAGATCTAGCCTTTTCTTCTATGACTCTTCATGTTTTATTCTTCCAGGTCCTCCTAATCTGCTCAGCCTCTTAGATCATACCTTTCAATAACAAACTCCAAGAATTCTTGTCCTGTTATTATGGCTTTTTAAACACAAATGTACTACTTCCAAAACTCTGTATGTGGCAAAACATGCATTTGTAACCCAATGGAGCTCAAATTTTCCTACATAGATACCAATGCTAAAAGAAAAAACAACAATGATGGTATCTGCAGACGTATGTGAAACAGACTTACCCCCAGAAAGCCACAAATCTCCAGAGAAACCTTTGCATGGAATTTAATCCCCTCCAGAGACTGCTAGCTCCTGAGAACTGACTGTAAAGCTTCAGCTGGCCAAGCTGAAATGTGAGCATCCAGCAGGTCTTGGAAAAACAAGCGGATGCTGAGGAAAGCATACAGGTTGAGACATGTATGAGGTAGGTGAGCCACAGGAATTTACTGAGTCTAAGAGCCTTTATTTTGCTTCAGTCCAGTGAGCTGGTTTGTTGACTGCACTGCTTTACAGTTCATTCTACAGTAAGCTGAATCAGTTAGGAAAAGGTGCAGGGTTTTTTGTTTGTTTGTTTTTTGTTTTTTTTAAAAAAAACATACACATGTAGCAGTGACAAACCACTAGTGTGAGCAGAATTCCATCTGCAGAAAGGTGATTCACCACATCCTGCTCTTTGCCCTTCGTAGAGTAACAGCACATCTAGTTTGCTTCTGTGCTTAGCCAAGGGTGAAGACGCGAGCTCTCCAACGCTCTGGCATTGATTCTTATCACAAAGCTGCTCACTGTCTGTCAAAAAGTCACTTACACAGAAACATGAAAGGCTTTGTGAATAAGTTTCACTCAGGATGCTTCTGCAGAAAACCAAAATACATATGTACTTTCTAACTGGTACCTAAGGCAAGCATCTGAGGGATGGGACATATTTGAACTTCATCTCTTCACTCTATTCTCAAGTGTCTGCCATGGGGAGAAGGGAGAGAAAGAAAAAAAAAAAAAAAAGCAAAAAGCCTCTCAGAGAGACAGAAAGAGAAAGGAGAAACTTTGGAGTCCCCAGCCACACAGATAAAAAGTCAGTGTTCTAGTGGAAAGAAAAAAAAAGGCATCTTAATAAAACTGGAAAGGCTTTATTTTTTAGCTAGTGCAGAATGAAAAGCAGCATTGAAGCCCCAGAGAATGGCCTCAGACACTGGCATACTCCAGACAGTGCTACTTCAGCTCTCTGCTGGACTGTTAACAGAAGCGTGTTCAGAACTACGTGTGTAAGTACTATTCCTCATTCCAACACCATCTGAGGATAACAGAGGATAAAACTTACTACCTATAAGGTGCCACTTTCTTTCATACAAATTTTTGTGCTTTAGGAACATACACAGACCTCACAGCCCACCAAAGAAAAAAATAAGCCCGTGAAAAAAACATACAAGGGTCTGAAGTGAGAGCTGAGGTAAGAATACGGAATGGATTTCCTCATTACAACCTGGTAGCTGTGAGTGGTAACACTCTAAACAAGGCACAGTACTTTAAAAGAACAGAGAATGTAAGACTTCCAGCTCCACTGTATAAGTTACATCTTGGCACTAGAGTTAACCAAACCCATCATAAATGAGAAGGAACACCAACAAATGAAGATCGCAAATCATGCTGCAGTTGATAAACCCTAATACAACCAGCTTGCATCCATTGCTAAACGATGCTGAAGTAAGTTTCCCTTCTGATGCACAGCAGATGGTGTAGGTAGGGAACCTGTGGTGGTGTAGGGCATTGGGAACCTAAGGTGAAGCTAACCATGCTGCCTGCTGCAGTGGTCCCCTTACACATCACCACTGGAACCACAAAGGGAACTGCTAATATCTAAGGGCCAAAATCATAGCAGAAGGTAAGTTAGCAACTCCAGCTTCATCTAAACACAAGCAACCTGGTCCAACTCACACTCCTGCTTCAGCCACCTGCTGCAGCCACAGCATAAAGGTGCAGGTATGTAACAAGTTGGCCTTATATGGCACGCCCCACCACTCCTTGATCTTACTCCAGAGGATGACTACAGCCCCCTGTCAGGTCACCCTGCCTCACGGTGTCTCCTCCTAGGTCTGCTTGATTACAAGCTCACTGGTGCTTGGAAGTGGTGTTTCTGAAACAGGGATACACCTTTTCTACAACCATCCCATCTTTTCTTTCTGAACCCTTGAAAACAGAACCAAAATACAGAGCCAACTCTTTGCCCTTTCATTTCCAGATTGGTCAGAAAATCTTATCTGAATTGTCTATAGGAATGATGTAGAGCTCAAACACCATATAAAACTAGGAAGTTGTACAAGGGGTCTAAAAAGTATTCATTTATCTTTTTTCTCAAAAAAGTTGTGTGTCCCTGGCTGTAGCAGATTTACTAGGTTACCCCCTTCTCATTGTAAGCACCATAGGTTCGGGTTCAAAATACACAGGTCTGACATCCCTGGAAACACTTCTTTAACTTATATCACGTTATCATCACAAAGCACATGTCTAAACATTCCGGAATGAACTGAGTTAATGCCTGCTGGCTCCTGAAAGTATTTCTAAACATACTCATAGAATTTAAAGCCATGCACAGCATTCTGATCTCGTGATGCAAAAGCAAAATTAGCAATGACCATAATTCATGTGATTTTTGAAGTCTTTTCTTCCCTTTCTGTAATTTCTCCCTTGCTATCCTGTTATTAGTAGCGATGCCTAGAGTTGATTCATTGTAAGGTCATCACGCCTACAGGCACAGCACTATCTCCTTTACTCAGCATTAGAAATCAGATTCACACACCAAGTTTGAGCTAACTTTTCCATCGTCCCACATTGTGTCTTAAAATGCATCAAGGTGCTACAGCTAGAAAATATCCATGCCCTGAGAGCACAAAACTCTCCATGAGCTAGATTCTCAGTGTTCTGCCAAAAATTCTCTGAGCAGACAAGCACTCAACTCTTTATTGTCCCTCTATGACAACGAAGAAAATTGTTGAAATACACTTGAAAAGACTTCCATTAGAAAGCAAAACATAGTCAGTATGTCTTGCTCTGCCCATATCCTCCCCCCCCCAACTTGTAGTCTTGCACTGGTTTTCAGTGGTAACAGTGCAAAAGCAGCTCTTGAAATTACATACAACTGAGGCAAATTTGATTAAATTGTAAACACACTGTAAAGTCTGGCAATATGACCACCCACTCTCCATAACAATTGCTCAGCAAAATTTCAGTTTTCCCTGCTGACAGCAAGACCTTATAATGGCTCTATGAAAAGCATTGGTTTCCATGCCACAGTAACTCACCACTTCAGCTCCTCTTACATATCTTCTTCCTCCAACGCAGTGCAATGAGAATCAGGACCAAGATGACAAGTGAAAGAGTCACAGCAATAGCCAGACCCAAGAACCTGAATCCCTCTTCTGCAATGAACAACAAAATAAATAAATAGATGCTGAAAACAAACAAGAAACAAAGCTAACTTATCCAAGAAAATGAGGAAAAAAAAAGGCAAGAGAAATGCCTGTTCAATTACAACAGTTCTTTATTAAGATTTTGCAAAAGCTGTGGCTAAGCTATACGCAAGCAGCAATTTCTTAGAAGAGAGTATGCATTGTCTTCAAAGATGAATATACTGCCCAATGCTTTCCAGAAAATGTCAGTATGATAGTTGGAATACAAGTAGAATTTCACGTCCTAAAACTTTAGAAAGTGTTCTTTTATTCATCCAGAATCTGAGGTTTTGTTAGTAAAATAAAAGATTTCTTTCACTATTAGACATATAACATTGCTGCAAAGGATAAACTAACTTTCAGAAAAGAAGGCAGATGTGTTTTACTGCCTGTGAGAAGTTCTAAACAGATTCTAGTGTAAATGCCCCTCTCTGGTTAGGTATCAGCCACATGATCTGATTGTTATTAATCAAAATAATAACAGCCCAAATTCAGTGCTCAGTGATGACAGTGAGAAAGCTCACTGAACTAAAAGCTATTCAAATCAAGCAAAAAATATCAAGTCTTAAAACAGCTAGGTTGAGCTATTCTTTTGAATATCTCCTCTAAACCATGAAAGATTACTAAAGCAACAAGCTATTGCTGGGCTTTCCCACTCTCCTAGTGAGGAATAACAGCAATATCTGTTTCCTGCTTTCAGAGGTACAAATTTTTAAAAAGCCAAAACAAAATAACTGCATTCAAGACACAACAAAGAATTTATTAATCACTCAGAATTAAGGACTAATTTCCTTTTGAAATTTCAGAGAAGATTAGAAGTCAGTCCTATGCTATTCTTTATTATTTTTCATATAACAATCTTATCTCAAGCTTGTAATACGGGAACTAACCCACAGTCCAAATCTGCCCTTCCTATTTTTCTAATTTCCAAAACAGAAAAGTGATCTTTCCTTTGAGGCTCTGGATTTGGGCACACACAGATTTTAAACCACCTATGTTAACACTTCTCTGTGAACTGAGGCTGGCACTTCAGCTTTTCATGCTCCTACTTCTCACCCATAGAGCTGGAGCTGAAATCTTTCCAGCAGAACAGAATGTTGGAAGAAGAATCAAACCAGCGCTATCAAGTATTCAGAAGTTACGCTGCTGCATTTAATATTGTCCTACAACATCACAATAAGCATCTTGAACTGATCGCCTACCTATCTGCCTGGGAATACCATTCCTCCTTGATCATTACTGCAATAAGCATGTCTCTTAGCAAAAACATCAGAGAAGCTAAAACATAACGCACAGGTTCTGTGAATGCAGTATCAACAAAACCTGTAATCAGTTTAACTGAAACATTTGGTTAATTGTTGCTAACAGAGAATTTGTTATTAATTTCAAAACTTCAACATCTAAGCCGCCCACAGTGCAGAGTAGGGCTCCCTTCCTCCTCCTCTGGCACACAGTCATTTCACTCACTCACTCACTCACTCTCTCTTTCCCAGCAGACTCCTATCCAACCACACAAAGTGCAGAGGCTGAGGGAATGCTAACAAGGGCCTCAGTCACCTACTTTTTTTCATACTTATTGGCAATTCCATTTCTTCATTTTCGTTGCTTACTCTGCAGGTCAAGTCCTCCTTGCTGATGTTCTGAGAGTCATAGACCTTCAGTTGACTGGTGATGGACACGACCCCATTATCGTACGTGAACTTCTCCTGTGTAGATGTATAATTGAACACACTGTTCCAGCTAATGGTGGGCTCTGGTAGGCCAATAGCATTACAGGTGGCTATCAGATGACCTTCTGAAATGTTGTAATAGATAGATCCATTGAGACCTTCCAAGACACAAACAAGACAATCCATCATCACAAAGAGCACCTGGCCAGCAATAGTAGTGGCAGATGAACCATTATCAAAGCTGACAGGATTCTCACACCGCCTCACGGCGCAGCAACACTGTTAGGCCATCACCCCCAAGACTCAATGCTCCCCCTCTTACCTGGAAGTGATACACCCTAAAAGTTTCATCTTATCTGAAAGTCAGGTTTGGCAATGATTTGTTAAGAAAAACAGGGGTTTTTTTGCCCTTTTTGTTCTCCTGTCTGCTAATGCTCAGGGAAGCTCGCAGTGCTGGAGGTGTAGCCAATACACAAAGGAATCTGCAGCAGTGTTGGACTACTCACATTCCAGATAGGATTGCTTAGGGCTTACAAAGATTCAATTTCTCACTTTTTAAGCAGTTGCTCACAAAATAGCAAACAAGGACAGCCCAGCACCAAAGCCACCGTGATGGGCTTGAATACAACACCAAAAAAGCCTTGCTCACAGCAATAAAGCTCTACTTCTAAACCGCTCCCCACCGAGGGATACTCCTACCACTCAGGTTTCTAAGTCCTCTCAAGTAAATGCTGAGGAGAAAACACCTCTCTTTCTACTGGAGACACATCCTTGCAGAGAATCTCACCGTAGACTTCAAGGCAAGAACGTCCCGAAAAGGAGCCTAACGGGAAGGTGTTAAACAAGCACAAGTAACACCCTGTGTCATCTATTCCCACACTCCAGAAAGTGATGCTTGTGTTGTTGAGCAACAGGCTGGTGAAATTCATCCGGTCTTGGTAGGGCTTCTGAATCTTTAATCCTGCTGACTTGCTGTATGTAGCTATGTTACTTTGTGATTTTACAGAGTCTTTCTGCCATGTCACTTGCACGATGTCCTCGGGCTCTGTCAGGGCACAACTGAGAGTCACGCTGTCACCCACCTTCACCGCTCTTTGCTCAGTCTGCGTAATCACTGCAGCAACATGAAATAGTGAAATGGGCAAATATTACCAGCACGCAGAAGCCTGATATTGTTTTAAGTCTGGGATTACCCACAGAATTAACAATGCCATCAGCTAAAGCACATTTCTATGTGAGCTTCCTCTGCCCAGAATCAGAGATCAAGTTACACTGATTTACACCAGATGAAGATATGGTGCATTCCACGCTACATAAAAGACATATCTGTTTTTGTACCCACCCCTGTATACTCCCACCTCAGTTTTATTATACCAACTCATGCCTTCCCAGCCTTTGTGGAGTCATGAACAATTTCTACTTCTTAAAAGCCAGGGGAAGATTGAATACACAAAGGAAGCACGTGCAAGTCCATTCTCAGAGAACCGAAGGGTAAATCTAGCTAAAGGCAATTTCTAGACTACAAAGCTTCAGAGTTTGCAGTGTATTTGAGAGAGACCAAAAGAAATTTGTAATTTGTTCCAGTATGGGAAGCTCTGAACTCTAGTGAACAAAGGTTCTCAAATAGTGCCATAGATATGGGATGCTGCATGTCCCAATTTCCAAATGCTAATCCAGCAGACTTTATGTCACACTTGCCTACGCCTCAGCTGTCTAATGCATGTCAAATGGCGCCAGCAATCTTATTTCATATCTTTTGGCTCTTTACTCTGACTGGTGAAGGCTTAGGAGTCAGAAACCAACTCTCCAAACATCTGTAGGCAGATTTAACGAAATTCAACTTACCTTTTGCCTTTCCAAGTGCAACACAGACCAGACTCAAAACCAGGGCTTGACAAGTCATTTTGGAAGAGAGCATCTACTTCACCTGGAGAAAGATCATGAGAGATGTATGACAATAATAGATCAGTTTATGGTGTGAATGGTAACTATTGCTTTGTCATTTAAGGAAAACAAACTAACTGAGGTGAATGACAAGCTTTCCATCTCCTGTTGCACAGAAGAGAGAGATCTGAAGTCGTGGTGCAAAAAATTGCCAGGTGAAAGCTATAAAAGGTGGTAGCCTTCTGGATTGTTCCTCAAAGGTCCACATCTATGGACAGAACTGAAAACAGCAGTTCATTCTCTCATTTAGCATTTGCTCACGGATGAACTGGTACACGTAAAACAAAATGTTTAATGTGGACATGCTTCTGAAAGCCTGGTGCTTGCATCTCAAGGACTGACACAAGCAGCTAAAAGATTCACTGCGTGTAATCGTGTAGAAAGGTCTATTAAAACAAGAAAATCACTCATGACAGAAAGTAACCACAAAAAGAAAGTTGACATCTCCCTTCAGATCTTCCCAGGCAATGATTTTGCTCCACAACTGCACGTAACCATGTTCTGTCCATTAGCACATCATCCATCCAAGCACGTTGTAGCACTGCACTGAGAGGAGAGCTGTGCAGTGTGCCCAGCAGTTTGACTAAAAACATAACACATCAGTTGCCCTGGACAGCTCATGAGATCTCGGCATACATTAACACCCTCAATTACACGAGCTGAGGAACCCACGTGGCATATAGCACCCTCCTACACACGAATATATTTCTAAGGAGGGAGAGGGGCAAAACCAAGGTTGCATTCTTGCTTTTCTTAGCAGGCAGCTTTTGACTTGTTCTTACTACTTCCATCAGGTAATACTGCCACAATACAAATGAACTGCGGATCTGCCTTGAGCTGTAGCTGGTGTCACACAAACATTACTTCACAAAAAAATCTCTACAACACGTATCATGTACACCTTCTTGCCAATGTCTGCAAAACTAGCTGATGCTTCTCTGGAGTGTCTTCTATCAAGAACATAAACAAGTTGCAACTTCTGTCAGATTTCAGTAACATGCAAGAAAAACAAAAAACAGAAACTGTAAAGCATTTCTATGTTATCATAAACGTACTTGCTCTTTGCAAGCCTACCTTTGCATTTCAAACTCACTGTGTTAACAAACCAAGTTTTGGTCTGTAAGAATATCTGAATGGTAATATCAAGTTGTGTAAAATCAAGTCAGAAACAAGACAACTGCATCAGCAGCAAGCTCAATGAACAACGCATTTGCCATGTGATAGAGCACCTCCCTAAGATGTTCAGAAATACCTAAAAATATGCAAAAAAACCCCAGCAAAACAGAGAGAAAAATTTACAAAATCACAGAATATCCTAAGTCAGAAGAGATTCATAACAATCAATTCATGGCAGGGCAGTTGGGGCTAGATGGCTTTTAAAAGTCCCTTCCAACTCTAAGGATTGTATCATCAATGAATCCACCTCCCAGCTCCACACAGGAGTCACTTAAAAAAATCAGATCCTATATCTGAGAGCAGCCTTCAAACGCTCCTTGAACTTCAGCAGCCTGGGGCTGAGCCCATAGCCCCAGGCAGCCCGTTTCATGCCCACTGCCCTCTGGTGCAGACCCTGTCTCTAAACCCTTCCCCCTGCCCCTCCCCTGACACAGCTCCATGCCGTTCCCTCGGATCCTGTCGCTGCAAGTTACAGAAGCATTTATAAGCACAGAAATAAATGCTGCGCCCGCAGGAAAGCACCTTTTCAGTAGCGGTCACCTATCGATACCTGGTAAAGTCATTAACATGCCATGGCTCCTATCCAGCATAACCACAAGACGCACAATGAGGAACCAACGTATTGCACAGCTCTTCTGGGTCACAAAAAGTCCCTTTCAGTCACACGTCCATCCTAGCGCATGAGACAGAGCAAGCAGAGAGCAAATCTTTCTTTAAGCCGTACTCACCCCAACTACTCACTTGCACCCGCTTGCACCCGCTGTTACTAACAGCCGCTCTGTCAGAGCTGTACCGTTGTCGGGGGGGGCGGGGGCCCCCCACTTTTAATACCCCTTCCCACCCAACTTTAACAACTATTCAGCGCTCAGCCCACGAGCTGCATAACAGACGCATCACTATTCCCACGCTCTCGGCAACACCCGGGGCGCCATACCGGTCCTCAAAAGCGCAAGCGGGAGCATTCCCATCCCTCAGCTCCACCTGCGATCACACGCTCACCTTCCGCATCACCCGCACCTCCCCGAACCCCGCTCCGTACCCAGCTGCGGAGCGCCCCCCTTCCCCCCAGCACCCCCGGCCGCCCCCATTCCTCGCACGCGGCTGCACGAGAGCGGCGGGGTACTCACCGCGAGCGCCCGCGGGCAGGGACCACGCTGCCCCACTGCACGGGCACGGCGCGGAGGGAAGTAGGCAGCAGGGCGGCAGCTCCCGCCCACGGCTCTGCTGTGTCCGGCTACGCAGCAGAGCTTTCTGGGTCGTATGCCAGCGCAAATTGCTTCTTGCTCAAAGAGCAATCCCTACGGATTTTAAGCGCGATTTCAAGTTGATTTTGATACCCAGCGTCTTCTGGGTACTTTCTTGGTGGTGATTAGAAGCTCACATCTGGATGCGTCTCTGCACCGTTGGAAGGGGGCTTTTGTCATCGCTATTATCACACTGTTGGTTAATAGGAGTGGCAAAAATGTAACAATCAAAAAGATCAATGCAGTGGAATACTGATACAGGAGGCATAATGACAAATGGACTAATGCAATAGAAAGATGCTACAAAGGGAAAGGTAAAGTACCCACCCACCTCTGAAGAGCTAGGCTCGCAGGGAAAACACACAAAGGAGAAATCACCAATCAGAGATCCTTCCCCCACGGCAGTCAGCCCTTAAATGGGGTCTAAGAGAGGTGCAGCCAGGCTCCTTCCAGTCACACAGCTGAACTGCCTTCACCTGTGCTCCCAGGCTGACCCAGTCCTTTCTCCAGGTGCTCAATCAGGACATGACTCAACAGTTCCCATACACACAAAAGCTACTCTCAATGGCTTCCTGCTGTTAGACTGGAGCACTTACTTTCCTCCAGCAGATCTCTGTCCTAGCTTTGTCCAAAATAACTCATTTCTCAATTTGATCAGTTAGAAACAGCATCCCTTGTCACCACCTGTGTCTGCTGTTTGCTGCTTCTGTTGCTTTCACACCTCGCCAAGCTCGCACCTCTGCTGCTTTCACACCTCTGTTGAAAGGTCATTCACACCAATTTACATATTTCTGTTAGAAGAATCCAGAAGGCTTCCTATTTTAAAACATCACTGTTTGTGGGAAAAACACTGATCCTGGCACAGTTTTACCCCTCTGCCAAAATACCTTTGCGAAGCTGCCTTCATCAGGCCATCAGGGTGGTCATCTGCCCAGCTAAAATTGAGCCCCATCCTTTTTTAAGACACTGATAAACATGGTCAGACAATGGTTCCTGCAGCAGGATGCAACTATTAAAATAGCTCCACCACCATGCTGGAGTCCATGCTTTTCCATTAAGAGATCAAAGCCTGGGCTCTGCCACCAGCTTTCTTCAACATTTTCTTCCATCTCCAATGGGAAGGGGTTGAATTACTCAGATTTCCTTCCATCGTAGAATCACCAAGATTGGGAAAGATCTCTGAGATCATCTAGTCCAACCATCCACCTACCACTACTATTTCCCCACTAACCCATGTCCCTTAGTACCACATCTAAACGTTTCTTGAACACCTCCAGGGACAGTGACTCCACCACCTCCCTGTACAGCCTGTGCCAGCCTGGCCACTCTTTTGGAGAAGAAATTTTTCCTAACATCCAACCTGAACCTCCCCTGGCACCACTTGAGGACATTCCTTGTCCTTTTATTTATTTTATTTTGTGTGTGTGTGGGGGGGGGGGAGGTACGGGGGGGTGTTGTGAATGAGTGATTTCCAAATCAAGCTTGGGCTCCAGCAACTATTCTGCTGCCTATTGCTTGAACCTGATGTCCCTGTATTCTTCACACAGTTTCTTCTTTTTCCCAGAGAGGTGGTTGAGTCACCATCCCTGGATGTGTTTAAAAACTGCTTGGATTTGGTGCTCGGGGACATGATTTAGTGGAGCGTTGTTAAGAGTAAGGGTAGTATGGTTAGGTTGCGGTTGGACTCAATGATCTTTAAGGTCTTTTCCAATCTGAGCGATTCTATGAGATCCTTATGAGGATCTTCTGTATGTGGATCTTCTGTATTTACTACCTTCAGAACTGTGGGGATTTCAGAAGGGACTTCAGAGAACTGTGGACTGTACAGCTCAAAACAAGTTTATCCAGAAGTGCTTTGTGCCAACAAAGCAGCAGAAGTAGGGAAGTCCCAAGGACATCTTTCTGCCCTTCAAGAAGATAAGGGGGACATTCAAGGGACTTGAATATTTTTCATTAGGTCATCCATTAGATCATCCATCAACTCATATCTTCTGAGGTGGAACAATTTTCTATTTGTCTACATTTTTCTGTTCCCTCAATGGGCTGGCGGAACAAAGAGAAGAAAAAAGAAAATGATGAAAGGGTCTGTAAAGTAAAAGAGCTGCTTCTCTCAAAACCCAGAGCTGAGCAAGGAGAAGGTAGTTCTGAAGTAGTAGGTAAAAAGCAAAGGTAACCTCAGTGCAGACGGAGGCAAATGGGAAGTACTCCAAGCAGTCCAGCAACTTCAGAAAATAGAAACTTTTCATATTCATCATGGAACAAGAAGACACAAAAGTCTCTTTCAGCTCTATTCTGTGCTGTCATTTCAACTGTTTCTTTTTGCATCCCAGCTCAGTTTGGCAACCTCTGTTGCCTTTCCCAAAGCAGGTGGTAGCTGAGCCAATACCAGTGCTTCAATGTGATAAAGCCTTAGAAGTTAATGAGAACAAAGGTGGTGAAGTAACTTGTCCTAAAATTTGGAGAGTTATTTGTGCTGCTCCTTTTATTTTTTTCACCTGCATTGGTACCTGTATGCTGGTGAAAGAGATCTGATCTCTCCTGTCATGAATAAGTTCTAGTCTTTAGTCTTTCCTTTGCCTTCTCAGTGGAAGCTCTGCTGTGAATGGTTGGTTCTTCCCTTGATTTCTAGGCTAATGACCTCCTGTAAGAGGAACGTCTGTGCCAAAAACTGCAAAACTTTTTCAGGTTTGAGAAAGAAATATATGGTACAGCTGATTCATGCTGCTGTCATTTTCAGGAAGAGAAAATAGAGGGTTAGACTAAGGCTACTGGTAGTAATAGAGATTTCAGTTATGGGAAAAGTACTGAATTTTACCGGCCATATCAGCTGCTGGAGGTCACATCAAGATTATTGGGCTGCCGATTAGCATTCCTCTGGCTCTGCTTCTGTGAATTCACATATCCCTCCTTCAACATCAAATTCAAGTTAGACTACCAAAACTCACAAATACTTGGATACCTTTATATGGAGGTCCAGCCTGTTTCAGAGTATTTATTGCCTGTTATCAGAGAATGATAAAGGTTGGAAAAGACCGCTAACATCCAGTCTAACCACCAACCATTGCTATGCTCACTAACCATGTCCCTCAGCAGCACATCCATATGGTTCTTGAACACCTCCAAGGACGGTGACTCCACCACCTCCCTGGGCAGCCTGTGCATCACTCTTTTGGAGTATTTTGCAATATCCAACCTGTACCCCCCCTCCGGTGCAACTTAAGGCCATTACCTCTTGTCCTATTGTTGTTACCTGAGAGAAGAGACTGACATGACCCTCTCCACAACCTTTTTTCAGGTTAATTGTAGGGAGTGATGGGGCCTCCCCTGAGTCTCCTCTTCTCCAGACTGAATAATCATCCTGTAAGATTTGTGCTCCATACCCTTCACCAGTTTCTTTGCCTTTCTTTGGACATGCTCCAGGTTCTCAGTGTCCTTCTCATAGTGTAAAATGGACACGTTTAATCTTTGCTGTAAAAGGATGTTTTGCATTAGGTGGACTTCATAGAAGTGGGAGCCGTTGTACACCATTCATCTTTGATACATCTAAGATATCAGTATCTAATCAGGCATACTCTTCCTGTCTCTTATTTCCCAGTACAACACACTGGTCTTTTTGCTTCAATGATTTCTCGTACCTCTCTCACTATCTTCATATAGGGGCTTTTTCTCTACCTGTCAGCCAAAGACTGAGGACACGACTTGCTCCACAGACCTGTTCAGAAGCACATCGCATATTACAGAGACAAACAAATGTTCTTGCACTCAGACAGTATTAATTCCGGCTTCCTAGGGACAGGTAACTGGAAGAAGATCAGGGTAATCACTGGGGAGAAAGATATCTCAAAAGAAAGGTGAGAGTGCTACTACAAATTTTTAAGATTTCTGCCCTCCCACAGAACCTCCCGCAACTCCTGAGAAGGGTACACTGAAAGTAAAGATAACTTGAGCATTTTATCTGCGTCTTGTTAGTGGGGCTGGGTTTGGTCTCAGCTTCTTGGCAATGTTTTTCCTCCTGAAGGGACTTCCTTTTGCAATTACTAAGACCAAAAGGAACAATGAATGCCATTTCAGCAGAAAGAATCAAAAGAGTGCTTTTAAACTTCTACCTGATC